TCGAGCCTCCAGTCGGGATGGGGCCGACCAGATGCGGCAAGGGCGCCCGCCTGAGCCCCCGTTGCGTTACAATATAGATGTAAATATAGATATAGATATAAATGTATTGCACAGGTCCCTGGAATATATTGCACAAAAAACGGTTGTAAATGGGAAAAGAAAAGAAAGGTTTATAAAGAAGGTTTATAAAGGAGAGGAGGCTATTTGGCCCATCAAGCCTATTTGGTTGTTAGTAATCTATTGAGCCATGGATCTCATCCACATTGCTTCTACAACGTGGCTGGGCAGCTCATTCCACACTCCTACAACCCTTTGCACTGAGAAGTGCCTCCTGTTCTCAGGTTTGGTTTTAATGCAGTCCCATGGTTGACTTTCTGTCCTCATTACTGAACTGCGATTGATGAAGAGAAAGACTAGATCAAAGTATTTCTATACGTGCTGAGATGAGGGTTTTCTGGAAATAAAAACAATTACAGGCCGATAATCTTCACCTGATATTGGCATGCCAGTGGTTATGGCACGTTCCTGCTAAAACCAAGTTATATAGCCAGTTGTAGAAGCAGAGTTGAGGTTTCAAAGGAAGAGATCTGCTGTAGGACTCTTGATATTTTGCTGTGGCTGTCCTTATGCCTTCGAGACTCAGCTGAGACACAAAGTTTCAAAACCAGGCACTCTTTTTAATGAGCATAGAGAATCAAGACCTCAGTTTTACATTTCAACCTTAGGATGGCACCTTTTTTAAAGTATAGTGTCTCCCTACTGATCCTACTAACACCTTTTCCAGCAGCAAGCTTAGCTTTTCCTAACCGGCAACCCACTGAAGCTCAGCAGGTGTGAGCCTAGTCACAACCTGGGAAAACCTAAGGCTGCTGTTAGTGAGGCCAGCAGGGGGCACTCACCCTGTGGTCTATGTGGGTCCTAATAATAATAATAATAATAATAATAATAATAATAATAATTGCTTATATATATATTATATAGCGCTTTTCTGGACACTCCACTCAAAGCACTTTACAGGTAATGGGGACTCCCCTCCATCACCACCAGTGTGCAGCCTCACCTGGATGATGCGCCAGCAGCCATAGTGCGCCAGAACGCTCCCCACACATCAGCTCTCAGTGGGGGGGGACAACAGAGTGATGAAGCCCGTTCATAGATGGGGATTATTAGGAGGCCATGACTGGTTAGGGCCAATGGGAAATTTGGTTACACCCCTACTCTTTTCGAGAAACGCCCTGGGATTTTTAATGACCACAGAGAGTCAGGACCTCGGTTTTACGTCTCATCTGAAGGATGGTGCCTGTTTACAGTATAGTGTCCCCGTCACTATACTGGGGCATTAGGACCCACATGGACCGCAGGGTGAGCGCCCCCTGCTGGCTCCACTAACACCTCTTCCAGCAGCAACCTTAGTTTTTCCCAGGAGGTCTCCCATCCAGGTACTGACCAGGCTCACATCTGCTGAGCTTCAGTGTGTTGCCAGTTGTGAGTTGCAGAGTGATATGGCTGCTGGCTAATGCCCCCCATATAGTGATGGGGACACTATACTGTAAAAAGGCACTGTCCTTCGGATGAGACGTAAAACCGAGGTCCTGACTCTCTGTGCTAATTAAAAATCCCAGGGTGTTTCTTGAAAAGAGTAGGGGTATTATCCCAGCTTCCTGGACAAATTTCCCAGTGGCCTTTACCAATCATGGCCTCTTAATAATCCACATCTATGAATTGGCTCCATCACTCCTCCCCACTGATAGCTGAGGTGGTGCTGCACATTGGTGGTGGTGGAGGGGAGTCCCCATTATCTGTAAAGTGCTTTGAGTGGAGTGTCAAGAAAAGCACTATATAAGTGTAAGGAATTATTTTAGATTCTATCCATTATCATAAAGCTGTATATTCCATTTGAGATTTGAAGCCCAATTTGGCTGAATTTAAGCTTTTGGCTGCCACCTAGTGATTTTAGTTATTAATACAGTCAATTTAACAATTGTTGCAAGAGCTTAAGAGAAATAAACCTGGCTTTAAAATGTGCTGGTATTTGTAGCACTAAAGAATTAGTCACAAGAAGAACAGGAAACACATAAGTCCCCAGTTAGTGCATCAAAAATGATCAAATGAAGAACATTTTTTTCCCCAAGAAAAATGCTAAATTCTGTTTGCTTTCTTTATTTAAACTTCTATTGTTCAATTCAGAAAACTTGTTCACCACCTTTTTATCTAATCTTTAATCTATGAAATCTATGAAAAGGTTTCATAAGTAATTAAGAAATAATCATTGCCTTCTGTTATAATTATATTTTAATTTCAAAAGGACATACTCTTGTTACAGAATTCTATAACATCTTAGTGTTACAATACTAAAAATAACATGCTTGAGAACATAATTTATGTCTATGACATTCAATTTGTTTATCCATATAAAGATGAAAATGTATCCCTTTATCATCATTTAAAATCCCACAAATTAAACTTGGTTTAAAATTGCAAGTTTTTTAATTGCAAAGATTAGGCCCAATAGACAATTCTAACATTTATGACATTCCTTGGTGAAAAAGTACAGCCTCTTAGGATTTTATGGTATAACATATTTAGTTTTATCTGACCTTCACCTTGGTGAAGAAGGCCACTTTCACACCACCTGTATTCTCAGTTTTAAAAGCATTTCCGGATGACTTCTGCTTGTGTTAAAATCCTGATCTTTTAACTATAGATCACATTTGTTTGTGCTTTTTCTTGCCTCTCTCCATTTCTATATTATGTAAATGCCCACATACTGTAACATCTACTTACTGTTATTCGTCCTTATTTTCAGAGTGTTTGTATTAATAGTTTATTTTTGCTACTTACAATACATGCATTATTGCCAACATTAAATGTCAGGTGTTAGCCCAGTTTTGTGTTTGGCTCCAATGTTTTGAATTTCATTTGCCTGAATCTACACTATTTGCTTAATCCTCCTGTTTTGATGCAGCAGTTTCCACTTGTGTGCTCTGCTTTGTGTTTAAAAGTTTATTCTGAAGAAGTCCACTTAAACTGTAACCCAATCTCTAAATTTCGTCTCCTCCCCGTCTTTAATCTTTTCCTAAAATAGTAATAATGGAATAGGATTTTCATCAATAATTACATTTTATTTCCAAAGACAAAATAATTGTCTTCAGTTATTTATTTTGTAACTATGCCAAGAACTGATGTATCTGAATATGTTTCATGTCTCCAGCCATACAAGATTTATTTGCACATGCAAAAGGCTTGCCTGGCTGAACCCTTACACCTCCTGGCAATGAGTTGCATACCGAAATCCAAGATGTGTAGAAGAAGTTAAATTAATCCTGCAATGCAAATCTTGCAGGATAATCTTTCTGTGAAACTGTATATGTAGTTTTGCTGACAGCAGCCTGCGTCTGACCTCTTCATGAATCTGGCAAGTAAAGCTGTCAAGAATCTCACGTGCAAGATCTTAAAGGCAAGCAATCCTTTCAGACAAAGTCTGACCTTTTCAAAATTGTCATTGGTCATGTTTTATAACTGTACAACAAGAACACTAATCAACAAGAACGCTAATATACTCATTTTGGGGGTACAGAACACAAAGTAATACAATTAAAAAATTGATACTGAAATACCAGATTAATTGCTTCTAGTAGGAAACTAGAATGAAACACTAATGAAATACAGTTTTGCTGCATATCCGCCTTACAATGGTTGTTTTCTATAAGGAATGGGCATCGATGTAATAAACAATAATTAAATATGCAAAAACTAAAAGCAACGATTGGAGAACTGACAATTCAGGTCACCCCAGATAAAAAACAATAATTTTCCTTCAGCATTTGCAATTTACATTGTCCTATTTACACTAAGGTGATGGAAGACAGGTGAAATTGCAAACAGGTAGGTGTGCATTTTTAAATAATTTTAGTAATATTTTAATTTGTAAGCAATTTCAAATAATATCCATTATATTTTGGTGCATCAGAGTGATAGCAAAACAGAGCAGATTTTAGAAATAGTAGAAATACAGAACATCATCCGTATTCATTTCAGAGTCTATTGCTAAATACAAATCTGGAATCGGCGGCCCTCAAGATGCTATGTTTCTTGCAACCGGAAGGGGGCGCAAAGGAACCAAACTGTAATTCAGAACCGCCATCAGAAAGGGTTTACATCCGGGAACCCTTTCATCTCACTGCCGTGTAATATTCCACATTGTTTTCGGACTCGGAAAAAATAACAGATCAAGGCGGGGCAGTACATTCCCAATATAAAGGAAGTGTGTCATATTAACTTAATTTAACTATCCCAAGTATTTTTTGTATTCCTGCTATTACAAATATTACTATATCAAATACTCTAGTAATATCAAAGCAAATACCAGATCCTGGAATGCATTTCATACCAAACAATTAAAAACTAGATAGGAAAATTAAGGACATGATTTGATGTCACTGAACTACCACCTGGCTTTACATTTAATGCCGAAATGCTGTTAAAACAAAACTGACATCTGACTCGGCTGAACTAAACCATAAAGTCAATTGGTCACACTCAATAAAACCACATGGTATGCAATTAATCAAACACTGTGCCTAAAAAAAAAAAAAAAAAAAAATACCAGGAGCAGATGTTTCTAATTTTCCCTTAACAATGCGGTACTTGGATTTTTCTTGTTTCTCCAACTCTTCAGGTATTACAGAAATAAAAAAGCATTTAATATCCAAAACACTTGCATTAGAACAGATAAGGTTTATGCCGTAACTTCTTGACAGTAACAACAAGCAGCTTCGGGATCTTTTCATGCCTTTGATTTGGAACGCTGAAGTGGATCAAGGAAGCAATATACCATTCCCCTTTCAGAGAGCCATTCCAGCTCGAGCTCATGTAGTGCCTCTTGTTTATGGGTTTAGAGAATCAAAGAAAAAAAAATCACAGCGAGGCTCTGAAGGACTGACCTTCAGTGACCAGAGGGTTTCACAGGCCCTGGAGAAATTCCACTACACGACACAAAGTCTTTGTTCTGTATTTTATTAAAACATATGAATACAAAATAATAACACGCAGTAAAAGCACACTTTTCGCTTACATACACAATTGTTACATAACTATTTTTTCCCCCATAAAACAAATGTAACAGCTCCATTTAAAAGAAGTGTAAATAACCTTAAAGAAGTAAGCATACATTTGTCCTAAGAAACCTTTACCAGAATAGACTGTTACTTTACTTTTCTGGTCATATTGCCTCACCCCTAGTTAAAAGTCCCACCTCAGCAGATAGATAGGTCAAACTTTCAGATCATCAGATCTTCTGCGATATTGGTTTCTCAAAATAACTCGTTAGTCAACATCTTGTCTCTCTTGTGGAACCGCAAGAACTTGCTAAGGCAGGTGATGACTGTTAAGCGCCTACGTCTAAAAAATGATCACCTCAATGTGTTCATTTGTACATTTAAAATAAAATCCAGCATGTTTAAATGAAACATTTCATTTAAAAGTTGTCCTCTTCCTATCCAGCTTTGTAAGCAAAGAAAATGAGTTTGAATATAAACTACTAATTCGAAGACGTCAGATTTTGTATGAGAAAAATCAATGATAATTGTTGTACAGTACAGTACCTTGCAAAAATATTCACCCCCTGTAATGGCTCCACACTTTTTTGACATCTAGAATTCCCACATTTTCATACAGGACTTTATATTTAGAAACTACAAAATCAGCACCCAAACTGATAATGATAAAAATGCCGATATGTCAATAATGTTTCTCAAGAGAATTAGAAGATTTTCAATGGTGTAAGTATTAAACTCATTTACTACAGCAATCATAAATCAGTTCAGCTAAAAAGGTTCATTCGAAAAGTCACAAAACGAATGGATTTGTCTGTACGCAATGTGGTTTAACTTTGCATTGGAGTAACTGGGTGTCTCTGTAAATTCCCTCAGATCATGGATTTCTAATCACAACTCGCAGTGACACAATACATCGATCCTGAAGACCAAGGAACGTTTGAAAAAAATATCAGTGAAAAAGTGGAAGAGAGTCACATCGCAGAAGAAGGTTACCTATCTGTGTAAGTACAGTGACGTCCAACATTAACGTCTGGATTGTGCATCATCCTACCCAGACTACTAGATACTGTGAGCCCACACTTTCAAACTAACTGGTTAGGAATGCAAATGTGAAGCCAAATGTGAAAGAGCTGCAAACGTCTGTCTTAAATGGGAGTCACTGCTCCTACAGTATATTGACAATATCGCAGTCCCAACACAAGACCGGTGTGAAAACCAGTCAGACTGAATCTCAAGTGAGGTCATCCTCAGACACGTGGCAGAAGGTTTTATGATCAATGTTTATTGTATGACCATCAGGCTGCCGAAATCAGCAGGAACTGGGGCAGCTTGTCAAAAAACGTGGGGGAAAACAGATGGTGCAAATCAGGGGCACATCACAGGGGTCACCCAAAATCTAAAACGGTGTAAAAAAAAACCTCACATTTCTGCAAGACAAATATCCAAAGGCCAACGCAAAAACCACATTGGAGTGGGCTGACAAAAACAGAGTGAATGTCCCCTCTCAGGGCTTTGACTTCAGTCCAATAGGAAATGTACTGCATGGTGAGGTTTACAATCCATCAACTACCCCCAGCAGACCTGTCTGAAGAGGGACAAAGGTGCCAGTAACAATAAACATTATCACACCACCTCACTGTGCAAAACTGGCATACAACTATACAAAAGTACTGGCACCAACTGCCATCAAAGGTGTTTGATTGATTTAGGGGCAGAACACTTCAGCAATTACCAAACTAAAAATATCAAACTCGAAAATATCATTTTGTACTTTCTGCAGACATTCAAACTCCTTCACATACTGTACAACACCGTTATAGTTTGGAATGAATTTCATGTGAAAAACGCCGTATTTTATTTTGAATTTAAAGTATGGGGTCAATAGTTTTGCGAGGCAAAATATGTACAATTTTAGTACAACCCTTTTTAAAAACTCTCCTCTCGATAAATTTCAAACACTGTATTTTGAAAATAAAAGGTAATTTGTTAGTTTTCTTACAGTTTATTGTAATATAAAATTTTACAGGTATAACTGACATTTGTCTTACGCTTCAAACAATGAGCAGTTGCAAGTTGTCACCTTTGTCAAACATTCTAGTTTCTGTCATATATTTTGATAATAATGTATGCTCGTGTGTAAACACTCCATAAACAACTTGCTGTAGGCTTGATAATTTACATTCATATTTCAGTAACTGCAAGAGTCCTGTTGACAAATATCCACATTTAAACTAGTTCTGCCAACCAGGTTAAAATATAACTTTGAGCAGACTGTCCAATCAAAAAATTGAAGTTACTGTACACATCCTTGAATGTCTTTACAGTCAATGTTTTATGTTTCTTTTCAAATCTCACCAAGTGAAACTAAGTAGTGGATTTTAAAATTCATCCTTTCCAATCCATGATCATAGATGAACAGTAAATACTGCAAGGTCACACCCTGATCAACATTCAGAAAAGTAACGAAACAGGGACTAAGGAATGTCACAATCAAATCTCCATGCATCTTTAAAAAAGGCTATTAAATTCTGTTAAAACCATCAAAATGACCAAACAATTAATTATCTTCATGTTTTCATCTTCATAATAGCAACAGAGAATATATTTACATTTTTTCCAGCAATATATTCAGGAAAAATATTTTTAAAAATATATGTTTTCTGAAACAATGAAAATAAAAACAAAATATATTTACCAAAATCATTAGCAAGTTGTGTTCAATTATTATTTGACAAAATAATTATGGGACATTAAAACATTAGAGAAATGAACACTTAGGACAGAAAGGCAAGGTCACCTCATTAAAGTCCCAGGTATGCGCAACAGACCTACAGCATTCAAGAAGGAGGAATAGATGAGCAATATTTTTGTACCAGAAGAACAATTCTAAAACAGTCTGTAACTGTCACCGTTAACATACATTAATATGTTAATAATACACTTGCCTCCATGCAACGCAGTTATCCTACTAGTCTCGGTACAACCATTTCTACAATAACTTTGACCAATTTGAATACATATATCCTGAAGCTTTTTTAAAGGCTAACAAAAACTCTTACTTACAGTATATGAAAGCCATAGACAATTGCAATTGATAGTAAAATGCAATTGGACGTGTACTACAACATGTATCACACTCCATTGATTCACAATCTCGTCACTTGTTCTTGACAATCACAGAGTCCAACACAGACAACACATGGATTGTCCCCATCTCTGGGTTGGAGTGCTAAGTAAGGTTGCATCATATTTAGTTAATACAACCTAGGAGGTATAACAAGTTAAACAAAAATTTCATTTTTATTTACAAAACATACTTATTTTTATTATTTAAACCCCAAATCAAATGACTATCATTTTTACTACACTGACGATAAAGTGCTGGTTCTGCTCAAATCACTCAGTCAATCAGGAGTGTAGCCCTGAAGTGCTGAAAACATCATATGAAAAACGCAGCCTAATCCCAGCGAAACATTTCAACCTGACAGCACGCCAGCAAAATGTTCTAGATCTTCAGAGAGGTTACTCTTCGATCATGGTCTAAAAGAATTAAGACCATGCTAGAACAACATTCTGCTTGAATATAGGCATATGTATTTATGTTCAAAATATATACAGAATTCTGAATCTAAGTCTTGTGCGCAAAACATGCGAGGAGTTTAATATTTCTGACGCTGTCATTGTTGAAACAAATTTGCTCACTCTGAATTTCACCAACAGTCTGTTTTAGGCTCTGTAGTCTGTATGAGGAGACATACTGTAGCATAATGTACATTCAGCAGACAAATACAGCATATTACGATGTTGTGTAGCTGATGCTACCACCAGCAGGTGTGCAATGGATGCACCTGCCCGCACGCCAAGCTGTCGAGAAAAAGGACTCATCCCTACAGCCCCTCTAAATGATTTCCTCCATTCTCCAGAAAGCAATTTTGTACTCCCCACTGGATAGCAGATTGAGGAGACCAGGATAATACCGGGCACCAGGACTCCCAAAAAGGTGAAGATAGCATTGGCCTTGAAGTGGTGGGCACCTGCAAGCAACACGCACGGCCCAGACAGAATGTGGAGTGTTCACAGGTGTTGAATGGGGAGTGTATTCCACAAACCTTTGACTAGGGTACACTTGTGTGGGCTTGAGCTCCACCTTCTGACCGTTTTAAACAGGATTCGGATCTGGGGATCCGGGGATCGCTTTGTCCGGGGGAAGGGAACAGAAAACAGTCCTATACTCCTCAAACCAACAAAATACTGCCTGCTACCAAGGCCGTCTATTTAACAAACTGGAGAGTCCTGACCAATGAAAGAATTTGGATAAAGCACTGAAGAAATTTTAGGGCTCAACTGGACTCAACGACAACCCTCAAGGATAGTGCTATTTCAAATGCTTTTTAAGAACACTTCGATGCCCTGGTGTAACACCTGTCACTTCACCAAGCAAAGTATAGTCTTCACTCTGGGCCATCTTCCTTCTGCGCAAGTCCATTGTATTTTTTACTTAATTCATCCACCACAGAAATGCACCAACCATCTGGGTTGTTTAGTCTACTGCACAATGACAAGGAAAATGTATGCATTAAAAATGTCTCATTCATAATCAGAGGTATCGAACAAGGATAGGAATTTACGCTTTACACCTGCTAAGAATGTCTAATTGTCAGAAAGTTGCGACAGACTTGCTCCAGGTACAAAGGCACACCTTGCTTTCAATAAGGCTGCATCTGCTTTGGTGACAAATATGATTGATGTGTAAGTCAATTATTGCATAGACAAATTCACATAGCATTATTTTTTAGGGCATCCTTATTGTGCTGAACACCAGCAAAACAAACACCTTAAAATTCATCTTAAAAAGCAATGTGTTGATAAAATAAATGAACTTGTTTCATCCCTCTTTTACAGGAAAAAAAAAAGGCGGTCAATGACAGCTGAAATGAGAAGCGAAAGGGCATATTCTGGGAAAGAACTTTTGCAATTTTCACAGAAACGTCTTCAGAAGATATGAATAATGCACTCATTCGTACATATAATGATAATGGAAGACAGATAAAATATGAGCTGTGAAAAATAGCCTGCCCTTTTAGATGTAACATTTTTTGCATGATTATTCAGCGACAGGATTCTAGCAATAGCCACAGAGAAACCAAATAAATAACATAATAGGTTCAGAAGTGTTTCTCAATACATAACTACATTACTCTCAAATAACGTATGGCCAACGAGCAGCAGGTAACTGACATCTCCTTGTCTCTGCTGCTCTGAAGAAGGAGTGGCTACATTCCACACAATTTTCTAATTTGGGGAGTTCCTACAACATGATCTATAGCCACTCATTCTCTTCATCATGTTATTGCTGGGTAAATTGGGACTGAATGAGTAACATTACATAGAATATGACCTCCAAGCTAACTGTGCAAATAACGCACAAGATGTTTGAATTTCATCTCTGCCATTAGGAAAATTCAATCCTTAAGGCGAGTCTCCTCCACCGGGCTTATTATGCGCACTAATGACATGGGAGTTGAACTGGACAACGATAATGGTGATGTCATCCCTGTACATGCGGGCCAGCTCTTCTGGTAGGCTCAACATTTTTGAAAGACGCTCGTGGTCTACCGTTCCAAACTCATTGTTCCCCACCGCGTGCCTTATAAGATGAGTGGCTGCGTTCTGATCCTCGAAGACAGACGACACCAGAGCCCTTCGCTCCATCAGCAACCCCTGCATCTGTCCGAGGGTCACCTTGTAGCCTCCCACTGTGATTGGCTGCTGAAGGTGAACCCCCGTGAGGTATTCGCCCACAATTCTCACCACTTCCTGTCTGTGCATCGTCTCCCATAAGCCGTCAGTACCCAGGACCAGGAAACGGTCCTGGGGTCTTAATCTGTGGTGAATGACCTCAGGCTCGGCGGTGAGGTAGGGGGGAGTGTGATAGTTCGGTGGGATGAACTTTGTGTGCTCGTTTTCATTGAGCTGGTCAGGCCCAGACTCCAGGACCCGCTTCTGCAGCTCAATGCTCCACTTGAATTTCACGTCTCCGAAGGCCCTGAAGGGCATCAGCAGGCCGAGCAGCCGGTCCTGCTTGACGACCGTCTTTTCCTCGTTCTTGGGATGCTCCGACTGGACACGCCTGATCTCTTCCTCGTTCTGCGCGTTGTGGTCGTTCGACAAGGTCAGCGCGGACCATGACCCGTCCTCCTCCTGCACGCCGAGCACGGCCCGCCCGTCGCCGGTGTTGGCCACGTGCAGATCGACGCCGTCGATGTGCGCGACGCAGGCCGTGGCCCCGGAGAACGCCACGCGGAGCACCCAGTAGTTGAGGAAGGAGTTAGGATCGCCAACTTGAGCTTCTAGGGACAGATCATTATCCAGCCGCTTAAACGCGTTAATCAGAGCCTCTTTAATGTCCGGCGTCTCTCCGCTGTTGAGGTCAATGAGCTCCTGCCAATATGTTCTCAGGCTGTTGAAATACAACCGAGAAGCCTCCTTGCTAAAATAATCATTAGGGTGCTTATGCCACTGCAAAATGGGCAACACAGCCCTCCCGCTCTCCACAGCATTTTCTATTTCAAGTAACGTCTCCTGAGGCAGCAAGGAGACGGCAATGTAATAAAACAGCCTCTCACTCAGCGCCTGAGCACAGGCGCAGCCCGCATGGCCATCGAACACCCCCAAGAGCATCCCCCTGGTCTGCAGGCAGGTGGCAGCACTCCTCCTGTCCTCGATGGGGGCGTTGGCTGGCAGCTGGTTGCTGTCAAAGCCGAGGACGGGGCTCACGTTCTTCCCATCGAACTCGGGGACTTTGAAGCTGTACTCGTTGGCCTTTAAAATGCTGTTGACCTGAGGCGGGGTCAGGTTATAGCGCAGCTCAGAAGACGTTCTGTAGGGGCGCGACTGGATTCTCCACTGGCAGCGCCCTGCAGGTGATCCATCTGCGCTGGAGTTTTTCTGCGGTGCGGGTTTCACGGCGTGGGGGGGGCGCTGAGGCGGCCGCAGGCATCGGTGTCGAGCACGGCACTGAAGGGCTGAGCTGCATATCCTCCTGATCTGTCCAGCGCGGGCGGCTGTGAGCAGCTGGGAGATCACAAGCATGGCAACAGGCCGCAAACCTTTCAAGGTTGTGAAAATACCTTTTCAGTTGACCTACGACAAAAATATACACAATCAGATACACGCCTGGCGAAGATGAGCTGAAACACATTTTTGAAATTCACATTTATTTGTAAGCAAAATAATCACAGCGAAATCATACAAAACAAACCAATTTATAACAACAAAGCGAGCAGAACAGCCCATATTAGGTTGTTGATACGTTGTTGTTTTTTTGCCAGTAGGAACGATGAGTTCAAGACGAAGGTTAACCGTGACTTCATTTTAACAATATTGATTTTCATTATTCAAATCAAGCTGCTTTAACACGTTTAACATCTAAATACTCCAAAGGAAAAACTGTACCTGTTCGGGAACTTTTTCCTCACAGGAATTCGAGAACCTGCGCTAAAAATATCAGCTCTCAACATGACAGCCTGTGGCAGCACTGTGAGAAACACATGTCTCTGTGTTTGCTTGTACACTTGGGGAACTGAAGTTAACTGTATACTGAGGCTGCTCACTTTAGCACTGTGCTCTGAATATAAGCATATAAATAGACACAGCACACACGACACACGGAGCACACTGAGTTTATAAAGGGCACTCGTTCTTTCAGAGTCCAGGGACTGCAGGAATCAAGCAGCTTTCATGCATGATGCAGCTACCCTCAGCCCTACGGCAGTCAGTGACACACATGACCACTCACTGAGGTTCTGCAGGAGAAATGGGCTGGATAAACACACTACCGATTAGCAGGAGGTAAAGGGCATTACTACGAAGATCTTGTTGCCCAAATCCATTAGAGACACGAAGACTCTCAACACTATTAAAACTCACTTAAACGCTGAAGTAACAGCAGAGGTCTTTAATGTATAATTTGGGTGCACTTAATCTATAATTTAGATGTATCACTCTTGGATTTTTGGGGGGGCATATCTATTTTTCTAGTTTTACTTCTATATTACTGGTAAATAATAATATATTTGAAAATTGTTCTACTGTACGGAACTGTTTTTTAAAGTGCTTATAAGCAAAACTACTAATTTCAGTCTTGAATATAGAAGACTGGCAGAGTCAAAGTCAAATACAGTACTGCAATTTCTCAAGGGCACGGACAGTCAGTCCAACAGCCTCCATAATCAACTGAGATATACCTATCGGAGGCTTTCATGTGCAATTTAACAGAAGTGCATTTAAAACTGAGAACAGGAGGCATTTTTAACAGAGGGGTCTGGAACAAGCTACCCAGAACAATGCTCCAGTTTCTTTGGACAGCCAGTTAGATGAGATCCTGTCTACCTGTAGACTTTCTTATGTTTTTGCCACTGTAGATACAGAATAAACACGCATATTTCATGCTCTGCCCATCCATATATTGATGTCCAGTTTCTGCGTATGGCCTGTGTAACCTTCAAGATAATCTTAGACAATGGTCAATGGTTTACAGAAGTCATCATTATATGAAGCAAAGCCAAGTTTTACTTGTAAATTCTCTACTTCTACCTGTACGTACTGTATCAACGTTTTAAGATTAAATCAGTGCTAAGTATTTCCCTGAGCAACCGATGGTGACATCAGCTCGAAAGGATATTTTTGTAAAAAATAACCTGTGTTGAAGAGCGGTTTTTATCTCTCCTGCAGACGCCTAGTGAGGATTTAAAAATAAATGCGCTTCGTCCAGAGCGCTGGGTAAATGCCTAGATATTTTGGCAACTCGCTGCTGCTCCTGACATTTGCTCTTGAAACGCATCTTTGAAAATCCTTCCGGCCCCATGCACTGTACTTCCAACCAGTTCCCTGGTTAGTAAAAAAAAACGCCGATTGCTTTACTACGAGACAGACGTAAATAAAATTGACTTTATCTATTTGTCATTATGGAAAAAAAAAATGTCGGTACTGGTTGGAAAAGTGCTTACAACTGACCCCTCGTAAAAACAAAATTAAAGAAACTCGTCAAACGGTGACTGATGAACAAAAAAATCATATTAAGGGTATAAAATCATACCTGAATATTCGAGAAGGCTGTTCTCTACACGTGATAACATGATAATACTGTAATAGCCATGTAGCAACTATAATTTTGGTTACACATGCTTTACTTTATTGCATTGTTATTAATATTAATACCTAAATGCACGCCACCAAAGCCAGTTCAGTACGTGAAACAGGGCCGAAGGAAAAATAAATAAAGGCACGAATATTTTTTAAATTGACAGGTAAAAGAGAATCAAGATGTTACCTTTAAAATGCCCCTCTAAAACGCGAGAGCCGAACCGGTTTTGTCCAAGACACATCTAACGCAGATTAGCTCACGATGAGTGTAAACAAAAAATAAAAGTTGCCATATTGCTCGGCGCATTAAATACAACAAACGTGTCCATTCTGCAGAACCTTAGCGTATTTCCAACCAGACTGACTGGAGTAAGAGATCTGCAAAACGACGCGACAGGAGCTTGACGTACAGTCTGTAACCGCCCCAAGACCCCCACCATCTTTTTTTTTTCCTACCGAGAAAAAAAAAGAGACGAGAGGCACAACCCATGCAGAACAACCGAGTCTGAGGTTCAACATAACGTGCAAATTAAAGAACCATGCACATCACGAACTAACATCCTACCTACCTTCCCTGCTGTGCTTTTAAACTGTTGCATGGAGCTGATGATACAACTTGCCGCACAGCCCACAGAAGACAACGCAGCCGAGCAAGCATCTCGGGCGACAGGCCCTGCGTAGTAGGTCCCTGTCAAAGTCCTGATTGGTGTGTGCTGCTGGGGCTGGGAGGTGTGTATCGCACGCCTTAACCTCTTGCGTACCGGAGCAGCTATTGGCTGTAAACCCGACACGTGTGACGGATGGGTTCGGGAGTGTAGTGTGCGGTACGTCCGGTCTCTCAATTTTAAAGTCTTCAGCTTCTGAAATGCTGGTGTCCGGCTGTTTAACACGTAGAAATCCTTGTGCAATCACGCAATAAATGTTTGCAGTCGCCAGCACACAAACTGAAGGCTCCACGGCCGAAACGTTGTGTTTTCTTTCTTCTCTTTTCAGCATGGAAGAAAACCTATTACTTGTTCCTTTTTTTACCCACCGGGACGACACAAGCTGTAGTTGTGTGAAAACTATCCGAAAAGAGATCAGTGCTTACTTCAGAGAGATGACTTCCTCTTAAAACTACGTTTTTGCGAAGTGGCAACTTAACAAACTTGTGTTGAAGGTTTATCGTTTTTATTGTACATTTTAGTTTACAGTTACTACCATTAATTATAAGACAATGTACTTTGCCGAAACCATCTCAATTAACAGCAACTGATGTGGGTATATTAATTTATAATCACTTATTGTGTACTTTTTGTATCATCTATCCTGGATTAGAGTGTATTTTCCTGTTTTGTATCTTATCTTTTTATAGTGCAATTAAGTAGTAAAATAAGTAAAAAGTAAATTATTTATTATATTTAAGATATGCTGCTGATAATGAGAAAAACAAAAAAATGATTGGGAAATGCAACTGAGTCATGGACTGGAAAAAATAAAAGCCATTAAACTGATTTTTCTTAATATTATGTTAAAATGAGGATTTAAAAATGGCAAAATAATTAGAGACACAGTCTTAATATACCTGTATTTGGCTTATTTGACCATTCAAAAAGTGATAAGGTGTGCAAATAAACTGCAGAAAGGAATGTTGCCCTCTTTGACCTCTTCATAGCTTGTTCATTGCTTTTGTTTCTAAGTCGCATGATGATTAGCAGACTCCTGACTCGTGCCTCTTGGGTTTGATTCTGGCCTAAGGAACATTTTGCACAGTTTGCATGCTCTTCCCCATGTGCCTGTGAATTTTCTGAGAGAATTTGATTTTTTCCCCACTTTCCAGTAGATCTGCCAGCTAGGTTAATTGGTGTCTATAAGTTGTCCTTGTGTTTCTGTTTGTCCTGCAAAGGACTGTTGTGTCTACAGAGTAGTCATGTTCTGCCATAAGCCATGATCAGCAAAAAAAACAGAACAAGCAAACATGTACGTATCAGACTTCTAGTGTGGAATGAAATGATTAATTCAAACTTTTTTAACTTCTGCTCACATCTTCGCCAGCTTTCCCTGTGTAAAATTCTTAAATAATCCAAAATCAAAACCCTAAGTAGCTTGTCTAATTGGTATTACTATACTTGAATGCTAATGACTTGTTGTGAAGCACAAGTCTTAATGCTGTATTGAAGAAGTAAAATGTTAAATTCAGTGCTTTCAGAAGGATTGTTGATTAGCTGTCACGTTTAATTCTAGCTTCAGAGATAGTGTCATGTGATGTACTGTATGTAACAGGGCTTTTCTTACATTTGTTAATAGTCTGAAGTACACTAAGGTGAAACTTGGTAAAGAGTTCAGTTTCCATTTTACCCTGCCTGCAGCACTGACCAAGACTAAGACCAAAATTAATTTAATGTAAACACTTATAAGTTAATAAAATGTGCTCATCTTATCAGCTTGTTACTGCTTGGAACCAAATGTTGACACTTAGACAACCTAGGGCTTTATTTCTGAAGGTTTTAGTAGTTAAGCTAAATAAGTCAGAAACCTAGTAACTAGGTGGGTCTGGATTGTGCTGAAGAATACATTCAGAGCCAGAAACATTGTGAATTAGGGTAAGAAAATATGTAAACACAAAAATCTTAGGACCCAAGGCAACATAATCCATCTCTATTATACTGAATAGGTTTGTAGGCTTGTTTATGCATGTGTATTTCTAAGCAGTACATACACTTACATTTCGAGGAACATCTGCTGTTCTGCAACTATACATTATACAGGCAAAGCTCAAATAGTTCAATAGGCTGGTGACACCCTTTCCTTACACGAGGGAGAAATGCATCTACATGTCATGTACAAGGTCCAAGACTGTGGGGTTGGCACCCATTCTTAACACTGTTAGACAGTACAAAAAGTCTAATGAAATGCTTTTTCAGGAGTCTACGGAAGACAACCTATACATTGTCAATGGGGATAATACTGCACAGTATATGGTGACTGATGACAGAAGACCAAGCAGCTGGTCTTCCTGAGGGATTTTGACAGACCGTCCAGTGGCACCTAATGCCAGAGATTCTGCAAAGCAGAATCCGAATTCTTCTGTGGGCTGGAAGTGTCGGAAAAACCAGGAAGCAGCTGTGGAATATCCTTGAATAACCCCCGCTTTCTAACAAACCTACTTTTCAGAATTCACTCATCCAGTTTCTGTCAGGAATAGACTGCATTCCCAGAGTTTAATGCTAATCCCATCCAAATATTATGCAGGAATGTTGTTGTGTACATGCATATTACAATATCAAATATTGAAGTTGTAATACAAACAATGCAGGGGAGGTTTGGTTACAGGATCCAGAATACCTGAAAGGCCTGCATAGTTTTTTAAAGATTCTTGTTGATCAATGTGTTTTATTTCTATTTTCACCACAAAGTACTTCTAAGAACCACGGCTTTATACCTAAACATTATGAAACCTTTTTTGGGATAGTAGATAATACAGTATGTTACCTAATGCAGAACAGAATCAAACATGAGAGCTTTCTGGCTCTTACTAGACTTGCCCTGTAGTTACCTTCCCAGCTCAGCTTACAGCTATCAAAGTACCGTAGCTCATGGTGACCTTTTCCTGTGAGGCTAAACTCACTTGCCCATTCTGAATGACAGTTTGAATTCAGTCTGTAGTGCTCTGCTCTGGTTATTCTCAGTTGCCTTCCTTGGTAAATAACGTAGCTCCCCAAGGACAGACTTTGAACACTTTCTATGGTAGGAGCATCCAATCTAGAGATTGTTTCTAGAGAGCCCCAATCCAGGTAGCCTTATAGATCACCCTGAAACACCTGATTCTTATTTACCTGATGATAATTAATTAATTGCCCCAGGTCTTTCAAAATCAATGATTTTATAGCCGCCTATAAAACCTGCTCGAAAGGGCCTTTTCTCTTTTTTAAATCTCAAATTTGAAACATCACTTTTGTCTTTACAAACCTCTTCAGAAGAAAATACAAAGGAAACATAACATTCACAGGTACCAGATCCTGGTACAAGTGTGGAATGTGAAGCAGAGAGTTTTCTCGCAAATGTTAAGGTACCTGGCATCATATTAATATAGCCTCCCTCTTCATTTCCTCGTGGATATGACAAGTGTTTTTCTCCTGATTTGGCAAGAGTTGTGTAATGGTAATTCACTTCCCCTAAGGACTATATAGATCTCTCAAAGAAGGGTTGTGAGAACTTCGGTAAAGAGTTCATTTAAGTTTGAGTTCAAGTTTCAGTTAGCACCTCAATACAGAGCATCACAGAACATGTGTGCTTAGAGTAGTTTCCAGCCTTATGTTCACAGCTCATACACATACACTCTTTCCCCGGCTGTAATTATTGAACGCCTTTATATTTCTGTTTTGGGGGGCATGGTGGCACAGCGGTTAGCATTGGTGTCTTGCAGCACTGGGGCTCTGGGTTCAATGCTGGACATGGTTAGCTGTCTGTGTGGAGTTTGTATGTTCTCCCCATGTTTGCGTGGGCTTCCTTCCGCAGTTAAAAAAAAACATACTGGTGGGTTAACTTTCTTCTGGGAAAATTGGCCCTCGGTGTGTATTTCTCTGTGTCTGCCCAGTGATGGACTGCCATCTCGTCCAGTGGGTACTCTGCCTTGCGCCCGTTGCTTGCCAGGATAGGCTCTGGCTAACCCTAAACCCTGAATTGGAAGAAGTGGTAAGAAAACACATGGATATTTCAATTTTTTCCACCCAGCAGTCTCCTTGAAAATACCCTTACTCTAATCCCTTTTCCTTCGGTATTTTTCTGTTTTCTTGCTTGTTATCCATCCTCCATTCCATTTTCATTCCTCTTATTTTTACTTTCCTTGTTTCTGCTGGTCAAAAATGTGCTGCAATTCAGCCTCCCATGACTCATGTCTTTTGCCAGTGAGACCACTTTGTATATTTTTATTACACATATCAGTCAACACTGTAGACATGAACTCGGTGATTCTCTCTTCTGCACCCCTGCGTGATTCACAAGAAAATTGCAGCAGATTCACAATAAAAGGCAGCCTGAAGGTGGTTCCTTATTTTGCAAAGCAACAAGCCTATGTGGGTCACATAGTTTCAAAACACACCATGACATACTGTATCTCTTGTTGGTGTAAAGATTTTGTGAGCAGCTGACTTTTACCGGCCAAAGCTAGTTTATGGCCTGTCGAAACACACAGGGTCCGAATTGAAATCACCGTCTCTGCTGCAAATTGTACCATTTTAAAAGAAGACTGAAGAATCCTCGGTCTTGCTATGAAGGTGAATTAAGACCTTTTGAGAGCAGTCATGCTTCAAATGTTCTCTTTATTTACTGTGATTAAAATTATACTGTATTTATTACTGTATTGAACAGAATATAAATAAAAAAGATCACATTATTTAATCTTAAATTGATTGTGAAATCAGCCAAAATATTTATCTTAAATCATAACCACGTCCATGTATTTTAAGGGGGAAAATTGCAATTATGTGAAAATGCATCCTATCTCACTAGGAATATTTTAAGAAGGAAGAAGGTATTACAACGATTTGGTCAGACACTCCCCACCAGGATAGTTTGAGGCAGGTTGTTAAAGCTTTCAATGTTATCTCTCAATGTTATCTAGAAGCTATTCCGCTGTAGAAAACAATAGGTGAGCCTATGGGTAAAGTGTACTCCCGTTGAAACACATTCTTTAGTTATGGGCCCCCAGGTGTGCTGCAATGTGTGCTCTGGACCTTTTGAACTAAAGCAGTATACAGTCCCCTGTAAATTACTGGAAAAGACTGCACCTATCACCTTGTCAAAGCCTATTTCTTTGAAGGTTATGACCATTAAGCACAGACCAATACAAATGTAAAATATAATTATCTTCATGCAAAAAAAAAACTATCTTGAGGAATAATAATAAGCTTGATTTTATATTGCACTTTACAAATTGCTTTATAGGAAAAAAAAAACAATTAAAACAAATAAAAAGAGCAGCAATGATAAGAGATAACAAAATTAGTACACAGAATCAGTATAGTAGATATAGTAGTAGATGCGGGAGCAGAAACAGAAATAATTTACATAAAAGCCTTTCTGAAGGTGGTTTTGAGCCTGAATTAGAAAAAGATCTCAAGCTAGATAACCCTCCGATATCCTTGGGGACAGAATTCCAGAGCTCTGGGGCAGAACAAGAGAAGGCCCTGCTACCCATAAAGTATAATCCATTTTGGGGAACAAACAGCAGACCAAAATCAAACGAATGAAGGCCACAAGGTGGGGAACAGGAAGATAATAAGTCGGATAGGTACTGAGGTGCCAAGCCATGCAGAGCCTTAAAGGTGAGCATGAAGATATTGAAGTCGACACGAAACCTGAAACCAGGTGACATTTCAAACAAAAAAATCAATGGATGTAAATGCGTTCATTTTAGAAAAAAATGTCAACTATTTATAAGCAAATTCCAAAAATTTAACTTTGATCTTTGTTTAGCGAAAAACCCGTTCAGAGCTAGAGTTCTCACATGTTTGAACTCTGTCACTCCTGTTTCCGGGGTGTGTCAGGACAGGGGTGTCTTCCAGATGAAGAACAACAACATGTTTTCGACAGTGATGTATTTAACAACACCCACTGCTGGGACTGCATCTTCATTAGAGACACAAATAAAGTCACAAATACTTCTCATCGTTCCAAGGGGGAATTTCTACATGGTTATAAAATAAAACAATCATATTTAGAAGAAACTCAAAGCACAACAGCATGTGTAATACACAACACAAGCAAAAAGACATCAAAAGAACACTCTACAATTTACTTTGTGAAGCCAGGAGCTAGACCTTATATACACATGCAACCTACTCACATGCTGGTGAGCAGAGAACACTTTGAGTCTTTGATTAGTGACTAATTTTGGCCTATATATTAAATCATGTAGATGATAATTATGTCTTAATTAACATATTTGGTAACATAAAGAATTAAATAAAAAAATGACAGTGAAGGTTGTCAACACAGTGAAACCTATTGGTATTGCTCACTAAATGTGAATCTTAGAAAGAAGAATCATTCCATAGCCTTCATGATAATCACCCAACTTGCTATTAGTTTCAAGATATCTGACATTGTCAAAAAAAATCTTGCTAAGGGAGAACAATCTACTCCATTACGTGATGTATGAAAATGCAAATATTTTAAATTAAGATTATTTTTCCAAAATATATATTTTTGAGCAACAGTGCTGTTAAATATGTACATTCCTATAGTATAAAAATAAAATAAAAATCAGTCAACAAAATTATAAAAAAAACTTTAATATAAATAAAAAATCCTGTTAAACTAAAAATGTACATTTGAAATACACTGTGAGTCAAAAGCAAGTATTAGCAAGTCAATACTGCAAAAACAGCCTATTCACATTAATACAAAATTGAATTTGACATCCAAAAATAGTGTCATATTTTGTAATATCAAAAATAAAAAAGTAAACAATGATGACTTTCATCACACTACACTTTAAATTGTATTTCAGGATTCATCACTCCTGACTAGTTTAGATATCATGAAGCTTAGCTATATGAGGAACCTTTTGTCAATCAGAGTCTTAGCAGCCAGATTTTTTCGGCCAAATGCATTGCGAATCAGCTGAAACACCTGCAAAAAAAACAGGAAACATGTTAATCCCAATTTAGCTACCTTCCTTAGTGGTACGGTCCGTATTGCTATTTGAATATTGTACATGGAAATGCACGTTCAATCAACTTGAAAGTGGTCTCCTCTATACAGTACGCAACAAATAAACACTACACCCCAAAACCACAAAGTGCTGTTCTGAGTGTGAGAAACTTTTTTTTTTGATATACAAATATAAACGCAGATTGCAATAGATATATATCAAAACAATAAAAGTCACCTTATAACTGACGACATACATGATTTATCTGGACTCTAGAGAATAATGTATGTATATATTTTAACTCTGATTATGAAAACCAAACTATAAAAGAAAACTAGAAAGAGTGTCAAAGAGTGCTGTTCCCCATCAACTCTCAATTGCCTCATTTGAATCACTTCACTCAATTTGTCTGAATTATTTATTGGCGTTCCAGGTCTTTATTCATTGAGGATTAGAATTCGCCTACGTATGTGGGTGGATTGTGGCCCTCCGGGACCAGGTGTAAAGGGCATAGCTCTATGCTGCCACCTGCTGGTAGATATTCACACAGTCCTTCGAGACTAATTCTGCATTACATCCGTGAAAATTTGATTTTCCATGACAACAGATTCATCACATAGTTTGACATATTTGATACTTTCACATAACTATAATAATCTTCTGCTAACTGTGTTGGAACATTGGAAACACCAGTCTACTTATCATTATCCCGATAGTGCCTTTTTTACCTCTCTTTTCTAGGATCTTTCCCGGTCTGGGAATTAAATCTGAGGTTAGTAGAAAATGTGAGAACATCAATTTATTTTGCTGATGAAATGTGCTATTTGTCCCTTACTTTAGAAAGGGATCATTCAAAGCCTACAATGGCTCTTTTCAGCTGAAAACACTTACTAGCTGTTGTATGTAGGTTAAGACAGCTGCCAAGACGAAATCTTGCGTTCCCAGGTCAACAACACAGAAAAACAAGGTGTCGAAGATCAAAAGTGTTGCTTCATTGCCATAGTATAGGACACTGCTGAACGAATGGGCATCATCTGAGGGAAAAAACAAACAAACCCTGAAATATTAAAGAAATATTTTTACATTCAAAATCTTTTGATTTCCATTACACATTGAATAAAACATCATTAATAATAATAATAATAATAATAATAATAATAATAATAATAAACTTTATTTTATATAGCGCCTTTAAAGGTGGCTTCTCAAAGTGCTTACCATTGTAAAATATGTTTTTTTCTGCTGGCTCCACAAATTCCATTCCAATCATTCTTTCAAGCAGCAACTTGTCCTTCACAATGTAGTCCATTTCCCGATGAGCCTGTGGGCATTTGGATTGAAATACATTTTCAATTAATTTGAAAGAAATTAACAGGAGCTTTTTAGGAACCACGGAAGATTTAGATATATAGGGAAAATGTTCTTATGTCTTTTGTTTCATTGCCTGCAAATTTCATATTCCAAAAAAAAAAACATGGGAGGAGCCCATATTGCAAGCCTATATCATAAAAGGGACAGTTTTCATATATCTTTTTCCTTAGAAGATATAACCAAAAATATAAAGGAACACACATTTAAATATACATTTTATAAATGTTTTACTTATAAATTGATTTTCAATCTTTTAAAGAAGATACCTTGCAAAGCACCTTACACTATGGGTATAAGTGCACTTCAGAGGTGAATATTAATAATAGTGTGAACTTGTGCTTACATGATCAATGAAGGAGGCCAGAAACCGGTTCATGGTGTGGTAGGCCTTAGTACACTGCTCAAATGGATTGGCAGAGGCATCTAAAAGTCGAGAAGGTCCATTTCTCTGAAAGCAATCATAATGCAAACATTCAACCCTTCATACTGTAAAAGGCGTTATTGAATATGAAACTATTGAAAACAGTGAAGTGTACCAACCCTTTTCAGGGGTTCAAAAATCCGATCATACTGCTGCCTCAGCTTATGTGTTATGGCAATCTGAAAGGTCTGAACGTCGGTGTTTGGAAGCAGACCTCTTTGACCACAAAGATTTTCCTGTAGCAGGGGAAAGATATACACACACTTACTGCACTTCCATGTTCATACACACTCAAAAGCCAGAGCACTGCGGAAGTATAAAAACACATCCAAACACACACAAGCTTTACTGGCATGATATGCTACATGGGTGTTATCAAAATATTTGTGTAAAATAGATCAGTATTATAAAATGTTAGGGTACAGTAGACTAACGCTTTATGCAAAATATTTTTAGATGAATTTGTGTATATGTGGTTTGCGACAAAAAATATTGAAAATCAAATAATGTGGGGCATTTCACAAATTCAAATCTGGTGCAGCACGCACCAGAGCTACGCTTTAGGAACTAGTTACAGAGCCCACAGCATGCTTGGGCTTTCTGTATCGTGCCGCAACACCCTCAGTGTGGCTCATAAACCAAACACAAGCACAAAGAGGGAGGAAACAAGTATGAAGTAGAAAGGCAAGTCAAGAAAAGTGCCCTGATTTGGAGTTAAAAATCATGATTCTCCACAAGTTAAGGGGTGGGATGATGGTGACCTGTTTGCCGAGTATGAATGAATCTTTGATTTGTGTAGTTGGAGACAGCGAGAAGGCTATTTTTGAGAGATACGCATCTGCTGTGTTCCTCTCATTTTATTCTTATTAAATTGTATTTGATCTACTTTGTATACTGTACAGTACTGTATTTGCTGTATTACTGTTTTCATAATACTAATACAGTCAAAACTGATTTGACTTGTTTAAGCGAGGGGAATAGGAGGGACTAAGGGAGGTGTTCTGATTATATGAGATTGTGAGTATATGAGCTATGTCAGGAATCTAACTACTGTGAGTCTACGGTATTTTGTATTTTGTAACACATTGAACTGCAGTATAATATAGAGGCGTGCAATACTGTAATACAGCACAGTAGTAAAGATTAAAAAGGGGCAAGAACTGCCTATAAAAATGATTTAGGAAATTCCTCATACCGCTTCTCTTTTCAAATTGGCATTCATCTCCTCCATGTTGGTGTCCGCATGGCCATGAACTGAACGCCCATGGATATAGTAACCAAAACATCGGTCCGACAACAGCAGGACAGAGGTCTAAATTGAAAAGGAATAAGTAGCCAAAAAAAAGACAGCTTAGACTTCACTATTTCTGCGATGGTAAGCTCTATTTTAGCCAATATGCTCTACAGTCCAGACATTAGTAAAATGGTCATACTCACGTTGCTAATAGAACATAGGTCTACAAATTGCCTTATTTTATCTTCTACAAATCGTTCATAAAAGACTGTGAAGAACACCATCTGAGAAATAAACAAAAAATATAAACATTAACATATACTTAGGTATTAATATTATATTTATGGTAAGGAAAATAACCCATAATGATTTTACATGATTTTGTTCACATTTACTAATACTAAAATCCTATCAGATCAATGTGAAACTATTCAATTAAAATTGACTGCGGCACTGTCAAAAATACACATTTATTACCGTGAATGACATGAGAAAAAAGTTACAGGATGTGAAACAAGAGGTTTCTTACTAAGTACTACAGCAAGCACCTGGGACTGAGGAACTGACCCTCCCCAGATCTGCGCAGAGGGCCAGATTTTCTTCTGATCATTTCCTGATTTTACAGCTATACACAGATTTGTGCCTATAGTACATACCTGCGTTTTTCACAGTTACGTGTTGCACTATGAATTATTGACATGACAGTTCAGTTTATCTCTTTCCTGATGGCAAATACTGTACAATAACTTGCTTTGATTTGTTCTTCAGTTGAATACCTTATTATTGATGACATTCTTTAATATAGACTCATCTGATCAAAGGATTACCAGCCAGATATGTTCCTGTCTTATTCATGTAAAAATAATTATTCAGTTTAGTTTAGTCTTGGAACTGTTATTTAAGGCACTTTGACATTCAGCTAATATGAAACTGTAACAGTTGACACTGTGCAAGTCTATGCCAGGGGTTCCCAGTATCGGTCGGGGTCCTGGGAACCTGCACAAATGCTGGTTGGTTTTTATTGTAGCTGAGCTCTTTACTTCAAAAAATCCTTAGTTGAACGATCCAGTTGCATGGCTAGAGCCTTTTTTTAACTCAAAGGTTAGAAACTTCAAGTTAGTTTATTTATTTAGTTTGACATTATAGCCAGCAGCCATATCACCCTGCATCTCACAACTGGCAACCCACTGAAGCTAAGCAGGTGTGAGCCTGGCCAGTACCTGGATGGGAGACCTCCTGGTAAAACCTAAGGTTGCTGCTGGAAGAGGTATTAGTGGGGCCAGGAAGTAATTGGCTTTCAGATAACATCCTCAGAGCTACATGTTAGTAACACAAGGTCATCAGTGTTCCTACCTGTAAAAAGCCAATCACCAGCCACATGGCTGTAGCTACACCATATCTCAGGATGAGGCTCCAGGGGGGGCTGTAGTTTTGAGGATCTCTGCTGAAATTCGACGAAGGATCTCTTAAAGCCAGATTGGAGAAGCCAACAACCTGATGCAAATAATACGTGGAAATGTTTTATTATTACAATGCATTAGATTGAACATTACCTGAAAAATACTCTGAACACTAACTCTCCTTCCTATGTAAGAATGTGATTTATTTTATAAGCTGTAAGAGCACTTTTTATAAAGGCATTGCAACATTGCAAAACAAAAGAAGGCCATTCACACATCATAAACATGTATAAAAGCCAAATAATAATAAATTGTATAATTATTCATTGAATGAAACAGATGCAAGCTCAAAACAAAGCATAGATACTCCATTGTTTGTTCTAAAGTTTTTAAAACAGTGATAAGTAAAGTGTTGACAAAGAACTCTTATCAATGACTTTATTTAATTAGATGGTATTTAATGACATGGCTTTTCTTGACAGTACTGATAAAGGTCAGATCTGAACAAAGCTCACCTCAAGAAAGAAAAGCACAGCAGAAACCTGAAAAGCAGGATTGATTCTCCGTATGGTCTGAATTTCATTCCATTCATTAGCCACAAAATAGGTTCTCCAGATGCTCACAGGAGCAGATGTCGATTTAGCTTCGCCTTCACCTTAAACAGAATCATATGGTATGAATACATTATGAACATGTATTGCATCATAATGCATCTCAATAATTTTAAATCCAGTCTCCAATACCTCTGGGATAAACCACTATGCATTCATCACAAGTCCATTCATCAGCATTAGTTGTTCTGCTTATTCGTTGTCAAGTTGTTAAGGAATGGTTTTCTTGTCTGATTAACATGTTTTGCTTATTCATCGATGGGGACTGTGCCATTGTGTTCTGATGTGTGGGGAGCGTTCTGGTTCCTGTGAAAGTCCTGTGGACTTTCGTCTTGGTCTAACTTTTCATTGTTTTGCATATATGACTCTCCTTTATTGAAGAGCAGGTTTCAGTATTTGTTGATCTGGTTTTAACTTAGGTCTTTATTTCTATGAACAGTGCAGGGACTGACTACAACTGTTTGCAGCTGCTTGTGTTGTGTTGGTGCGGGTGATGTGACAAAGGTTTGGAGAAAGAACAGAAAATTGTCTATTAACTCTAAGTGTTTTATGTGTGTTACTGTACATATGAGTATTTTGGTTGTAAAGCAAGTCAAATGGTACTATGCATGTACTGTATGATGAAAACATGGATCCCAATACACCTTTATTCCATAACAGATAATTATGGAATTAACAGATAATCTTTGCAAAGATGACTTAAAAAACTTGTTGGAACAGGCCCCCTTAATTACATAATGCAAATGGAAAAATACCCCCTATTAAAAGTATTTTCACCTTTAGTCATCCTTTTCTGGAATACATGCTTGAGTTATGAATATCACAAGTGATGTATTTAAAATTAAGATTTTTTTCTAACAAAAATGCAAAGAAACCAAATTCTATGATATATATCCCCCCACATCTTAAAAAACAGTAATAATGAAAACCCAAAAAGATAATAAAATATTAGTAGTAATATCTCAACAATATAGTATTTCTAGTTTATTCACATTTTTATAACTTTAGATAATCTATACAATGTTCTACATATAATAAAGAAATTCAGAAATTATGTAGAAAATGATAAAGATAACTTGTTAATGAATATCAAGTCTAAAAGCTACCTTCTGCAGCCTTTAGGACTTTTCCTCTAGGTCTTTCCCAGTCAATGAAGAAGATATCTACATATATCTGGTTTATTAGTTTGTGCAGAAATTGGATTGCCTGAAAAAAATGAAACCAACAAAAAATCAATTTAAAGAAATGCATTTTTAAATAAGGTATAGCTGTTGATTATTCCCATCATGTGACATCATTTTGTATCTGTGGTAAAATAACCATCCCTTCCAAACGTACAAATTTCGTAAGTCTTGTAAGGGTACCATAACAGCCCATACTGAACAGTGCCAAAACAGGTTAGGAGGTTAGGAAGGTGAACTCCCTTTCCTGAGCTTAGTAGTTGGGCTCAATGTACTGACAAGGTCTTCTGGTTGTTAAGGTACTGTATGTTGTTAATGCTGGCTCACAGAATACTCGTTAATTAATCATAAGCACTCTTGGGCTGATGAAATTGTATTGGAACAGCTATTTAACAAATTCAAACTTTAAGCACAAAAACTGTGAGAGAGTGGTGCATCTCTTGGTTTTGCAAGACTTATGTTTATGTTCAGTGTGAACCTGTAGACATTAAACGTGATATAATATAAAGTTATAAACTTTGGTCTATCCAACTACAATGCTCATTATATTTAGCTGGGTACGCTTATCAGTGATCACAGAAGTGTTCGATAAAAATCATCATTTTTTCAACCTGCTCAAGGATTTTATACGATAAAGTCAATCAGACCGATGTCCTTGTTTTTGAAGTCAAGGTCTTCCCTGAAATCAAATACAAGTAATTGTTTTGTGACGTTACCTTCAGTGCGAATGCACAGCCGACATACGTAACAAAGCGCTCTTCCTCTTCTGGCAGAGGCAACACAACTGAAACAAACTGCTGAGCCTGAAAACACACAAAGGCATAGGAGGAACTTTCTTGAACGCCTGAATAACATTTTCACACCGTGAAGTAAGAGAAAAAACAAATAAATATGCATAAAACAGACGTTGAACGAAAGAGACTTGCCTCCACCGTCTGGACATGGACAGTAAAGACAAAGCAGAAAGAAAATAAGACGAAAGTAAGTGAAGTTAGAAAACTATACGCATTTAAATTAAAATTTAAATAAAACATACTAAGGTAATGACATTACTTCAAAAATGATCTTACCTTAAAGAAAATAAGCCAATACAGACCAGTGCCGACTGTGACAACAAAGAAAACATTTGACAGGTCTCCAGCATAAAAGAGAAGAAATTTTAGCAGAGTCTGTAAAAAATAGAAAGTAGTAATTCAATTTTCATGCAAAGACAGACATCCCAACTGCAAATCCCATCGTTCATTTTTCTCAACACAGCTCATAGATAATTAATTCTTAAAAGCTACAATTTCCTAGCATTAGTTTAACTGAATGGACTTTAATTGCTAAAACATAAAGATTATGCATAAACATAAAGGTAGCTAGTATGTGATAGTAAATTATGAATAATGTCATGCTAACAACAGCCATGAATGTGGTTTTAATAATTATATAATTTTTCCGTAATTATTTTATATTACTATACCTAGATTTACTGATCTTAGGTGTTAAACTAGCAGTAGATATCTTTTTACTTAGTTTAATACATACTTCATAGTCCTGCATAACAGTTTCCCCTGTGGTTTAAAAATAAAAACTATGTATACTACAGTTCACTGTAGTATAACAAACTTGTGAAAATATTGTACGCACAAGTAAGTCAATTAACGGTGATGCTATTCTCCTTTTCCAACTTGCTGTTTTCAAGAGGGAATACAAAACAGCCAGACCACCAAGAACTCCTAGAGCAATCTGAAAGACACATTGCAACTTTCTTACAAGGTTTGTCATGGAGAAGCAGACAGAACGTTACTTACATACAAGGTTATCCCTGGAAAGCATTTGAAAAGTTTTCTAAAACTACAGAGTGACCATTATATTTCAGTACTTACATTACTTTTGACTTGAGCTTCACTCTGATCCATTTTATATTCCAATTCAAAAGACAGCTGTTATAAAGATAAAAAGAAAAAAAGCATAATTATAATGAACAAGTAAAGGTTTATTCCATGCTGAAAAGAGAAGAAAAAAAACAAAACGTTTCGGGTTCAGGTGTGGACACCTGAAGAAGGCTCCACAACTGAAACATTGTGTTTCTTTTCTTCTCTCCTCAGCATGGAAGAAACCTTTACTTGTTCCTTTGCAGCCTACGCATGCTGACGCAGCTCCCCACCTAAACTAACTATATTAATTCTCTGTATAAAATTTCTATAAATATATCCATCCATACTGTTTTGCTATCCTCTTTATTTTTAGAGAGTACTGGTGAGCTCGGGCCTAAGTGCAAGCAGCACTACGCTCTCGACAAAAACATATGCACACCATGGGCAAGATACCAATAACTTGGACACAATGTCTTTGGACTGTGGAAGAAAAAAAGAGACTACCTATAGGGACCTTGTGTGAACACAGGTGTCCCAACCTATGCAATTTATAATTATAGAAGTAATTACTATGCCTCAATGAAGCTCTTCTCCTAGATGAAATTCAAAACATATTTGAAAGGGATCAGACGACAGTTCTGGTTATATTATTCAACACACTGAAATGAATGCAAACTTCATTTGATTTTTTAGTTTCTTTTTCAAAACAAAAAAGTGTCAGGAATGATTAAGATCTGATGTCAGCTCAACTGCAGTCTCGATCTGGGAAAACTCAAATAATATTTTTCATATAACTCTGTGCCAGGTTATAAACATCTTGTAATTATGTGTAATTATGTGTAAACCTGTCTCACAAATTCTTAATGAAACCATTGTATTGTCTTGAATTTAATTTTAAATTGTACTTTTTTTAAACCATGCACAATTTTTTCTTTTCTCTTTCTGATGGTAATGCTAATTTACCGAAACAGTCTGTGTGGCAGGATCTGTAATAAGAACATCTGTGTAAGCGATGGTGATCAAGGGTGGATAGACCTCTCCCTTCTTAGTGCTGGATACCACCTGAAAACTGAAACAAGAGACCATATCTTCAACAAGGGATCATTTACTATCCATCATCCCTTTAACATAGATATTATGGTCAAGTTAAACAATGTTTTGAGAACATATTTAATTTTATTTTAAATAAAATGGTTTAATAATAACATGATGTAATGCATGCAGAAATCTTATAAAACTGTCTTCTGTTTTAGTTTCTGAAATTATATATATAGCGGTCGATAAAAAATTATTAAACACTGAGGATTTAGATTTTGAATGGTTTTAAATAAAAACTGTTATCAAACTACAGTTTTGACCTCACTGACCTTCAGCAAACTCTCTTTTTAAAATTGTCAGTGCACAACGGTGCTACAGTTTCATTGGATATGTTTGAAAAAAACAAGAGAGTTACTGTATGAAGAAATAGTGTCATTTGCTTTATGAGTACATTATAGTTTAATTTTTTAAAAATATTTTTTTAATAATAGTCAACTTTGTTATCCAATGTAAAGGTAACATCGCCAGAAAGGATAGAGGAGTTAATTTCCATCTACACAAAAAATGATTCCTACCTTATTTTTATTTTTGTTGCAACACGAATTACTTTTGGTTGATTTATCAAGGTGTTTTCACGTCCACTCAAGGTATCCACCAAGAAAATCCGACGTGTCAAATACCAGTTATTTCGATTGTCTCCTGTGTTCAGAGAAATAAAAGACATGGTGTCCAGTAATTCTCTCTCAGCATGAAGTGCATTAAATGAAATAGCAAACATTTAGCAGAAAATGACCTTGGTTTACGAATTGTCCGTTGAACTGTAGGTTTAGATTAAGAACAGGCACAGCCCAAAGCTTCTTCTTTTCAGTACCATCACTGAGATCCATGTATATGTCGTAAAACAGTGGCTCAGAAAAATCAGCCAAGATCTTTGAGACCGGTAGGATACACTGTTTGAAGGAGGAAAAAAGAAAAAAAGAAAACAGACAGGGGAAACCTTAATGTTTCATGATGGTTTATATTCACAAGTGTTTATCAATCAAAGTGTTTTGATCAACACCTTCACACCTGTGTTTTTGCACTACTCACTTATCATTTTTATTTACTGCTGTCTTCACTTATCTGGACACCTAGAGAAGGTGTCCAGATGAAGTAAATTACAATATACTTCACATAAATGGCAAACACCTGAACACAACATTCGATTTGCTCAGCAGTTTTGGGCAGAAACATTTCTGAGTTAATAAACTGTTTTCTGATGTCCAACAACACTGTATCATGGTAGTTTCACTGTGATTTTGTTATTACACGCACCACTGCAGGGCAGTATATTGTGATCCTGTGATAACAAAAGTCACAGAGCTACGGGAAATGCATAATCAAATACCTTTCTTAGCGACAGTGTTCTTTCTAAACCATACCCTTTCACTGAAATCACTGCTCAATGAAATGGAAAATGCTGGGGCTTTCAGACCCTAGTACGGAGTCAGCTTTTCAGCCAAGTGAGATAATCTGGGACTCACTGTAAAAATGACAGTAGCTTTTGGAAAAAAATAAATTGGACACTCACACTTTGTTTGTATGCTGTCCCAAAGGTAAATGCAGCATTCAGTCTGACAGCAGTGTCTGGACAGAGCTGCAAGAAGAGAAACTTCATATCATTAAGATGTGAGCAAATTTGATTTCCTCTTTGCCTTTCCTAGTTTAGTGTCAAACTAGAGTTCCTCATTTATTGCGTTCATAACAACATAATAGAACATTAAGAGAAAGGTAGATTATACTGCATTTCTTCGCAAGATGATGTTAAAGTGAGAAACAAGGAAGTTACTCAACCTGTTTAAGAGCTTTGAAACTAAATTGCGGTCTGTAATGACTGGCTGAAATCTAACATAACAGTGATGTCCTAGGTTTTTCAACATTCGCTACTCATTTTATATCATAAGTTGGTTAAAATAATACTCAGTTTTAATCCATATTCCTGTACTTCACCTGCAAACTGCCCTCTCCAATGTTCTCCCATTTAATGAAGTTTCCTTTTGCATTGTAGACAGCAGCAACAAATTTGATCTTTGTGTTCTAAAAGTGGTAACATAGAAACAAAATTCAATTAAACCAAAATCATTTTGCTCAATCAGATTTTTGGTTATAGATGTCAGAGATAATTCATTTTGAAGGTCATGTGGTGTTTTAACATAATTGAAAAGGTTAGTCCTAAAGGCATTCTTTATGCAAGGAAAAATCTGCTTTGGAAATGATGTCAGTAAAATATCATTTGATTTGTCAAATGATACAAAGCTATTCAAAGCTGTTGAAGCAACACTTTTAAGCAAGCATGGATACAGCACAAATAGCAGACTTGACTTTTATGTACCAATACTTTTGGAAGGTACAAACTGTACAATAATAAAGAATTTATCTGAAATGTTATCTGTTTCTTTAACTTGCAGCTTAAACCCCATGACCTTAGGAAATAAAGCATTTATTTATTTAAAAACAAAACAAAAACAAAAGGCAAATACATGCTGTTCTTTTGAGATCTGCAATGAAAACATATCCAGTACAGGCATTACATTTACAAAACATAACTATTACTACAGTCCTTTCCATCGATGTTAAGCATTTTGTTTATTAAGATGTGGTACTTGCACTCATGGTTAGAGACCAGTCTTCCCCCAGTTATTTCCCATGAAGAATCATCAACATACTTGGAGACTTTAAATAGCAATAGGATTTTCACCCGCTGAAATATAGGAATTCCAGTTAAATCCAGTTTTGTTTACCAACCCCTAAAACATCCTCATCATCTCTACACTTCCTTTGCCAGCACTTTGGCCTTTTCTGTTTTTATAGATGGCCAGTTTGGACCGGCCCAGCAGGAAGTGTGCGAAATGAGTAGCCTATTTTTCAATAAAATGGACACAGCACAAACTGGCATATATAGCCCTCATATCATACAGTTTATATGTGACTTACAGAGCAAAAAGGGATTCTATTGCTTTACCTGAGCCGCACCCTTAAAACTAAAGCTCGCTGGGAAAGACACAGAGAAAAGGACTCGAGAAGCCAAACCTGGCTGATCACCGTAGTAAAGCCAAGGGAGATTCGCCCTCCTGAAACAGAACAAAAACGTGGACGTGTTTGTGGTTGCATTCTTAGAGAAAAAGAAAAGTGCAAAACACACTTGTTTTCCCGACTTCAACAAATACTCTAATTTCATGACCAAAAATCTTCAACAAAGCTATTAAATGTTTCCTTTCTCATATTATATACCTAAATACTCTTCCACTGTCACATGGGACACAAATGGGTTGCTATAAAGTGAATGAATTTTAAAACAGCACTTAGAAACAGCTGTCTACACCTCTGGAATATAGACCTATCCTGTACAAAATTATAGTAACATTTCTATTCATCCAAAAAAATCCATCCGGTCATTCTTTGTATGATAGTTCTGCAACATACATTCAAGTTCTTCTATAAAAATGTTGGCATTCCTCTTGGTTAAAGAGCAAGTTATAAGACAATGCAATTATAAAAGATGTGACTCACCAGTAGGATATAACCTGTACAGATCCAAGAGCTGCAGTGCTTCTGAATATATTATTAAAGAGGCCACAGGCATCGTTACTGACACTGCTGATGGAATTCATGGTCATCACGCACATGTTTCCAAGGGCCTGACAGGAAGCTAAGTTGGAAAGAGTCTGCAAGATAATCATTACCAGAGGTGAATGTTTAAGAAATGACTAACACTGGAAAATCACTGCAATTCATGTAAACCACAAAATACTCATATTTTATAGAAATTCAATTTACTAAAATAAAACAATGCATGCACTGTAGGTTCCTTTTATTAAGCCTAAGCATATTTTTGCTGCTGACTACTAAATAACACCCTTTTGGTCTTAAAGCTTAAATAAGTATAAAAAGTACTCCAACACTGGGCTTTTTATGTGTTCAAAATTAAATCCAATTAAACAGTGGTAGTGTTAATAATATTAATGTTTCTTTATAAGCCCTATACAATTTCTTGCATTAGGAATTCGTCTTTTCGGTATATAATCATATGTTACTGAACTTAAACAAACTTCATCAGTCATTGGAAATACAGATTTGTTGTTAGCCAAAGGAATTAGACATATTAATGTATAAAATAAATAAGAATGAATAGGCTTCCAGAACAGAACATCAGGTCATAACCTGATGGGATGCAATTGAGATGTTTTTGAATTACACGGTATCCTGTCGCAGACCTGCCATGACAGTGCAAATGTTTTCATCAGGGAAAGGTCTGGGACCTTCTCATCATAACTGTAATTATGGGTATTCATGTCTAGGTTTCTAGACGGTGACAGATGAAGATGAATGTCCATTAGTCTCTGATAAGAATGTGCTTTTACACACAACGCAAACGCACATTCAGAATAGGAAGTCAAAGCACAGAAAGATTCTAAGTGTTTATTGTTGACTGTAGAATCATCATCTGCATCCACATTACATGGAGATGCAATCCAAAAAGGCAAAGGACACCTGAAAATATGCTGCAAAACATTTTCTTTTACACACCTTTTGTTTGAATTTGAAAATGTGTGTCAGAATAATCTCTTCTGGTTGGAACTAAACAGAATCTGGGTATTCCGAAGCAGACAAAAAGACCTTCCTTAACACAGGAGTAAATACAAAACAATGACTCAGAGCTGACAATTATGACATATTAGGATTATTGATATTTGAGATGAATTATCAAACTATATTTTGGGAGTAAGATCTCTAGCACCTCTCATTTCAAAAGCCTGGAAGAAGTCTTGGGTCAGTGACTTCCTTTACTTTTTGTACATTTTTGTATGTCCTCTGGGAACAGAAAAATGTTCCCAGAACATTTGGAAACAAATGTTCCCATGAATAGAAAACAGAAACAGAACAAAATGACACAGAAGTCTATGTATATCTTAATATAAAGTACACATACGTCGTACAACAATCTCAATATTGAAAAAAAAAGTTTTGCTTAAATACAAAAGAAGATAAACATTGCAGCTGTGTATCCTTACCAAACACGCAGTTGCTGAAGACAGAAGATTTTTAGCAAACCAAACTGACTGAACCGGAATGGCCTGAATGGGAAAATTAGGTTTTAAATTAGCAACTTTAATGAATCTACAGTAAATTATACAAAAAGAACTGTTGTGCTGCTACCACATTTCACATTTAATAAACTACTCGTCTCAATGTCACCCCTAACTTAGGTTGTATATGTAAACTACTTCAATTATTGATGTCACTGGAATGTGATTTAATGTACAATATGACTGCTTCAAGACGTTTGTCTGTTTCTGTTTCAGAAAGAGATCCCGGTATGACAAGAGGATCTGCTCTGACTAACAATTTGTACATTTTTCAGTGGCATGACCAAACAAAAGGTGAGAATTGATATGCATCATCTATTTCCAGAATAGGAAATTCACCATCTACTTACCAGCTGTGCAAAGTTAATGCTGGAAGTCACTGTTGTTGGCAGATTATTTGATGGGAAGCATGAACCTCCTGACTGAAAAAGTAAATAATTCATACCTAAATATCAAAAACCCTGATTTATGGTACAAATCCTAAAAATAACAGAAGAAATATATAACAAGGGAGAAATTCCTAAGTGAAACAGTAATAAAACATAGGTGAAATAAATACTTTAACATGTACAAATTGAAAACATCAAAATAAGTGTTATAAACAGTTATTTTACACAGTTCATCTATTAGGTTGGAGAACCCATTCCATATATTTTTCCTACCCTGTGAGACCACACTATTATACAACTAAAAAAATACATCTCAAAAGGCATTTACCCACAAAGCAATTCAGCATCAGACAATAACTTAAGAATTGTAAATTGCATCCTGTGAAACAATGATAAACTTCTTCATATCACTTTCTCACATATGAAAGCTTTAAACCAACAGCTACAAAATAATCATAAAAAACATAAGATACACAACAATTCAACAACAAAACAGGAAAATATGTATACAATGTGATATGCTCCTCTGAGTCCTGTAAGAAAAGTATTACTTCAATAAGGCAAATCAGAGCTGAACAAAGTATACTTGTATACATAGGTATGTTTTTAAGAGGCATTAAAAATACGTACTGGTGTACCAGATGGACCACAAACACAGGAGAGGGATGTATTGACAAAGGATTCTTGACATCTGACACACCTGTGAGAAAACAGAACATACAGTAAACAATTTCTAGAAATACTTTATGTCTGAGGGAGATTTACTAAAAATGAGTCATTTACCTGTCTCCAGGAACATCTGGGACTGTAAAAACAGGTTTTTCAGCAATACAGGGCTCACACTTCCCTTCTTCCAGCTGCCTTCCGTTGACATCCCTTTCAACTGGTGGGGGAAATGTGAGGTCAGTAAGAAAAATAACATACACACAACATGGAGAAATGGTTAATATATGCGTTTATAATTAAGTCAATACAAGCATGCATTCCTTCAATTAAGCAGACATTAAGAACAATAGAGGAAGTATTTCCCACAGTAATATCTGTTTCCATGAAATGCAGCTCAAGGGCAAACTCCAGTCCCAATTTCTCACATATCAAATCTCGGTAGCAATATGACTCCATTGACAGTTTAGACAAATTTGACAAATTTTGAATTAAGCACAAACTCGTGAACTTTGGGAAAGTACCGTTAAGTTGCCATGTTGTCTCCAACTCACATTCAAGTTCCCCAGAAGTGTGATGTGATGCGGCCCTTCCTGCTCACTAGTCACTGTAATGACTGATGTAACGTGATGTTCAGAGTGAATAACAGATTGTGCAGCAGATATTGCACCACAGAAAGTTTCCAATGTGATATGCATGCAGAGTTAAACAAGCAAGAGTCACTTCACGTCACTGGAAATTTTGTTACCTCGTTCTGAATGGCAGAACGTGGCGCTGCATGTGATGGAAACTGGAGGTTTTACAAGTTACTGTGTACATTTGACTGTTATTGTGGTTTGAAATGCACTCATCAATGCTGATGTTTTCTAAATCCGAAATTTAAAAACAGTGTTCCAGTTCTCCCTTAACTCGCTAGGGAGATTGTAGATTTAAAACAATCTTACCCAGTATACTTCCAGCTGAGCACTGGCATGTTCCATCGTCATTCAAACCTCCTGGGCATCTGATACATCCAAAGCCATCCCTGGTGACTCCCTGTTATGACAGACAGGAGATATACCCAGAAACATAAAAACAACAGAGATGTCATACCTGGGAAGGTGTGCTGTGAACAGTTGCTTTTTAAGCCTGACTTAAAAAGACCAATACCTGTCACGCTACCCCGCCACAACACAAAAGAATGTGGACATCGTTACACAAAGTGTTGTGGGAGCATGGAACAAGCCAGGACCTTAGTTTCTCGCAAGAAATGGCTGGCTGAGATCCTTGGATCACTTAGCTACTAGCAACCAAATGGGCTAGATGGGCTCTTAGCAACATCCCCTTATTCCCGAGGATGGTAAATTAGTAACAGAACAGAAAAGAAGGATGATACAAGGGCAATTTTCAGAGCACACATTGACTAAACCTCATATAGTATATGGAGGGATGTTTGCTTGTTACGCCTTCTGGCATTTAGGGGCAGAAACACCCTGTTTTTAGTATTTTACAGAACAGGGTTGTTAGCCTTGTGCCCGACCTCCAACATGGAGGACCTGGCGCCTGACTTGGGACATGAACCCACTACCCTGAGATTGTGAGTCTCATGCACTACCAATGGAGCTAGTCAGGGCCCCAAGGGTATATGGACGTGGTTTAAAAAGAAAGAGTGTAAAAAGATAAAGATGTTGGCTGTGTGATCTGTGAATGTGTGATTGTGTGTTGAAATCTTAAAAACATAAGCGATATCAAAATTAAAACCATAAGTCAGGAGTATCAGGGAGAAATAAAATAACTCCAACTTTTGTTTCCTATACAGCCTACATTTAAGTTATTTTTCAGCTTCTTAATGAAAGAAGAAACTGCACTGAAGTAGAAGAATCATACCTTTTTTGTATCAGGACATTTTTCGCAGGTTGCAGGTTCTCCGTTATTAGATACCAGTACGAATCCAGTCTCGCATATACACGAAGTCCCTGTAACACAAAGCACTAAACATATTGAGTTGTTCTCTTATCCTTAGGAACACAGAAGAATGACACAATTATTAGGAATGATGACGGAAGTATAAAGTTGACAGATACTTTGTTTTCACGATCTGCCTGCAACCACAATGTATCACCTAAAACCATATTTTTCAGATCCAGTTCAGCCCGTTGCTTAACATCGATTGAAGAAATATGCAGCAGCATTTAGGTAAACCAGAATTTTACGTCTCGTCTATTTTAATTGTATCTTACATTAATTAATGAGACTATGATAACTTCAGTTTGTTGTTTTTTTTTCATTTGCATTTTACAATAATGTGATTAACTAAATGACATACAAATTTACGACAAAATTGCTGTTTGGAAAGTCATTCTGGCGGAGACCTATTTTGACATCTTGTGTTGACTCCATTGATGAAGAAGATAAATCAGAAGGGCGCCGAGCCGATTTATATACTAGCATCAAATACTACTGATACTTACCATCTGCGTTTTTGATTTGGTTAGGTCCGCACTTCACGCAGGAGAGACTTGAAATGTCAAAATATTGTTCTCTGCTGCACCCTGAGGGTTGCTGAAAGGGAATGGAGAATTGCTGACAACTGTAAATACCTGATTTCAGCAACACAAATAAAATAGATCTGCACATAAAGACACATAGCGTCCCTGTCGCCATGGTAGACAGCCTTCCTGTTTCCCAGAATCCAACCGTCCAAAACCCGGAGCCTTGTGCTGTTGCTGTCAGGCTTGTGGGAATGTTTTCATGAGTTTGAGAGGAAAGGAGGTGTGTTTGCTGATCGATGTGGTTACCACCGAACACATTATATACACTGTACATAGCACAGTTAGATTTTTTGTCATAGCATTAAGCATGTTTGCTTATTTTTTTCGTAATGAAGATAGGAATTGTTTTTTGAACGAGATAATAAATCTTGATTAGAAAGGAATTTCGTTTTTTTTTGCCAGCTTTTAGCTTTTAAATTGATGCTTCTCGTAGATATACCTTGTGGAAGTGAAGTAATGTTTTACCAAAAGCACATGAACGATTTGTGTCAGGAATTACATATGAAAACCAATGTAAATAAGGAAGTGTGATTATACATCCTGTTTTTGAAAGGCTCTTATATGCTTTGAGTTTATGGAGCCTTCAGTGTTGAGAAGTAGTTAAAAAATCCTCTAGCTCAGTTTGCATTACATTTAGTAAATGGCTTCTTTATTATTCCAGGTATGATGCAAGCATTGACTTAAATAATTCAATCCTATAAATCTGGTCAAGCTGTAGTCTTTTGACAGTGGCATTTATATTTAACTACATGAAAAAATGATCAGTTTATAAACATACACTCAGAAGGATCTAAATCATTTAATTATTAAATTCAAAGCGGTTACAAATTATAAACTGCTAACTAGTCAGAAAGATTAGAAGATGTATGAACCTGAGCCTGTGACTGGCCTTAAATACAGCCTATATAGTGTCTGCACTTTACAGCATTAGTTCACACAAAGCCGTTTTTATGTTCCAGTGTACCATCAACATATCAAAAGACAAAGAGGCTATTTTAGAATGAAGCATTTCAATTTGGGATGGTTTAGAGTTTAGTCTAAAATATTCAAGTGAAGATTCTCAAAAATGCATAGATCTGAAACCTTTGAAGTGTCCAATATGTTTTGGATCAATGCATTACAGAGAAAGTAACCCGTTCATCCTTATCAATGGAAAAATGAAAGTGTCTAGTAGATATGCGCTTACATGCGAAAAAGCACAATAAGAGATACAGTACTGAGGCTACGGTACAGTATAAACTAAAGTATAGCTAACCCAAGTGTTATGATTATTTTTTTTCGAAAAGAAGAAACACGTTTTGGCTATTCTGAGTTTCCGTAGATGGTGACGTTCTTTGTAATTGACGTTTTCCTCGTTGTTTGGAGGGGGGACGCCATTTTCTTCTAATATCGAAATTTACCTGTATTGGGGAGTGATTCGGGACATCTGGAGATTATATTTTCTGTTGGCCTGGACAAGTAATCATTTTTATTCTATATTTGTTGTACGTAAGGCAATTGCGTGGGTTCTGGGTTTTTCCGTGTACTTCCATGAAACCGTCTAATTATTGTCTGAGTGCTCAGGACCTTTCGGTTTATGTTGTTAACCCGCAGTTTTGTTACGTGTCCATAGGCTATTTCAAATATAATGTGTTGTATTTTTTAATAGTTGCTTAATTTAACGAAACGGTTCTCAGATATTCGTTTCCTTCCCGTTATACTGTAGTTTTAAATTTCCTGGCACTTTGTCCAGTGTTGTTTTGTGTTTTTGTTGATACCGTTAGTGCATCTGTTTTCTTAAACGGGTGTTAAAATAATGTATTTGATTGATTAACCGCTGCTGGATTATGAAATAACGTGCAGCAGTTTTTTTTTCCCAATTGCTTTAGGTTCATCGATGAGATTAGATAACGTGATGAGAGGTGCATAACAGAGTGAGGCAGCGTGTTTGCTTTTACCACAAAAGCGACCTGTTTTCAGTTATTTTGTTTGTTGCCTGTGTATGCCATTTACTGTTTTGTACTGTAATACAATTTGAACGATATCCGGTACATCTTAAATTAGGCTTTAACGACCGAGTCACTTTGGAAGACGGCAAATACAATAAGGGTTTCATGCAGAATTTAAAATACAGTATAGGGGTTAATTTAACGGATGCGTGAAGACATTTGTGAAACAATTACTCGTTTTGTGGGCCGCCAGGCGCGGTGTTCTGTTTGCAGAAATCACAGTCATTCATTAACTTGGTTTGGATTAACCTAGTTGCATTTTGACGTCCTCGCAGTGATTTAGGAGGTTGAAGGAGACGTGCCACTTTTTTTTCCATTGCAGAGACCGGAGGGGGGGGTCGGTCGGTCTTGATGCTCCACTCAGTGGACACCCAGTCCAGTCGACTCCCACCACACGACCCCTGCTATTCGGTCCTTCCCTCAGTTACAGTCTCTGAACATGCGACAGACAACAGCAGCAACGCCTTAAAATGCCAATCAGGAGAGGTGCAAATCCAAAACACCGGCAGCAATTAAGCACAGTTTGAGAACCTCCCAACAGGTTTTTGTTGCCTATGTAGTCATTAAGTTTGCGGGAACCTGGTATGCTCTTCTTTCTTCTGATATTATGGTTGTCACAACAAAGCAGCACTTTTAACTTCTGTGGGTTCACTGGAAGAAAACCCGTCTGTTTTCCTCTGAATAATCTGTCAAATCAGTATAATTGCAAGGGATAGGGCTGCGTCATTTATTTGGAAACTTTCACTTAGCACCTGGTCTGGGGGGTCTGACTGCTCATAGGGGGGTTTAAAATGAAAAGTGCAATGTTGTATAAGAAAGTAAGGATTTATTCTATGCATGTTGTAGTCTGATTTTTGCTGTAATTTAGTGTGTGGATGGGATTTCCACTTGCTGTTTAGAAAGTACGTAATCTTTTCTGCCACACAATTTCCTTGTTTTTCCAGGCATGGGTTTTTTTTTAATTGGTAAAAGATGAAATGCATGTTTTAGAGTAAATTAAAATGAATCTTTATTCTAAAATAGAATTGCAGTTAAAAGCTTTTTAATTAAAAATTATATTTAAAAATAATATATTTTTTAACAGCTCACTTCTCTATCTAATGACTAGGGAAGATGTATACAGTATGGTAGAAACAGTTTCATTTTTTGTTCTGAAGTTTGCTGTTGCTGTTGCTTGGTTTTTATCTGGAAAGCAAATTGGTTAATTTCCTTGAGTCGATCCATCAGAGACTTTGATATTTCTTAGTTCACCTTGATGTGAACAACAACTGCACCTTGAATTCTGCAGGAAATGAATTCATCCTACCCACAGGTCTGTGGATGAGAGCTGTTTTTTTTAAAGCAGTGACTGGGTCACTTAACGTTGTGTGATTTTACTGCCTGGGAGATCTTCGGCTAAGTTTTCTTGATCTCAGTCATTGTTTGTGAAATTTATCTGTGATGTTTTTTTTTTTCTTCTTTTTGTTTTTTTTTTTCGTTGTTGGTTTTGGTTGTTTTTTTTTTGGGTTTTGATTTTTTTCATTGGTTTTTTTTTTGGTTCTTGAGTTAATTTGGGTTGGGTTTTTTTTTACGATACATTGAAATCTGTGTAGATGAATAAATGTCTGTTTAAATCAAGCTTGTCATCTGGATAATATAGATGATTTTTTTCAATATTATTGATTGATATCTGTTTGGCATAAAGAGAATGGAGTGGATACACGGAACATGGGAGCCCTCACTCTACTGAATTGCTTGGTCCCACTTTGTGCAATTTGCACTTAAGCAAGAGATCCGTCTTGGTACATTCCTCAAGCATTGCCACTGCATTGGATGTGACAGAAACATTCAAAAGCAAGAACACTTTCCAGTGGAAATTGGACATCGGGAGCTTTTGTATTTGGTGTGGATAATACTGATGTTTGTTCCAGAAAATGGAGTGAAGCAAGAAGACTGATCTGTGTTCTTTATGAACAGAGAAGATGGAGGATTTCTCTAGACTTTCATAAACGCTTGTTTCTTTCTTTTTTAGTGTCTAGTTATGATTTTTTCCTGTAGTTTTAATAGTTTATGAAGTGAGGATAAACAACTAAAAGAAGGATTGTTCATTGTATCAAAGCCTATTGTGGTATACAATATGGGCCACATTGTTGATGGACAGGAGCAGTATTGTGTGGATTTGTTCTAAACAGGATTTGGTATTCTGATTTAGTTTTAAGTATAACACAACATTATTTTATGGTTTTGTGTGTATGCACACAAACCTGCGGTATTATTGTGTTGTAATTATACATGTTGGAAACGCTGTGCTTCTGAGTATAGGCCAATGATGTTGCATCACTGGGTTACCTTAGCGATGATCATGTATTGTGTGCCAATGTGCATTGACTTCTGGTTAAAATAAAAAACATAATGCATACAAACCAGAGGTGAGCCCCAGATGTGGATTAACTCTTGTGTAGGACTGCCTGTAAAGATAGCACTGGATTGTGGGCCTTTCATTAATGGATATTTAGTCATAGAATGCAGAGTGAGATAAACCAAGCAAATTGAGTAGTGAATTTCTGAGTCCGTCTGATATTGCTAATAGCAGTTTTTGAGAAATAAGGATCCATTTATGTTCCATGATAACTCTGTTCCTAATTCAGTCAACAGTATAGGTTGACACAAACCGTGTCATTCTCTTAAAACACTATTCTGTTTTCATTCCAATATCTTAAATCTTCAAAGATTGTAACATACTGTATTAGACTAATTGCATGCTGTTGCTTTGGTCATCTTTCGAAATACTTGATACATTTGCCCAGATTGTATTTTGAGTCTGTAATGTTGGACATGTTAATGTCTTTATCATCATGGATGCAGAATATTAGGTTAAGTTTAATGGAGACCTGATCATTTCCTGACTTTAGACCGTTCTGGCACTGGACAACCAACGGAAGCTTCCTGTCTAGCTGCTGTGATAGTGTGCAGTGCAGTGCAGTGCACTCTGAGGTCGCTGACAGGGCTCTGGCTATAATAATGCTGTTGTGTGCCTTTTTGTCTACAGGTCCTGTTGTTTGTGCTCAGCATGGCGGTGGTCATCCGCTTACAGGGGCTTAGAATCGATGCTGGTTCTGAGGATATACGCAGTTTCTTCACTGGACTGAAAATCCCTGATGGTGGGGTACACATTATTGGTGGAGAGCTCGAAGAGGCTTTCATTATATTTGTCTCAGATGAAGATGCAAGGCGTGCTATGATTCGCTCTGGAGGATGTATTAAAGGGTCTCCGGTACATCTACAGCTCAGCAGCAAGACGGAGATGCAAAATGTCCTTGAAGCCAGCACAAGAACGAAAGAAGCAAGTAAAAGTAGGATTTACAATGAGAGACTGGGATTGCGCAGGACCGACTCGAGGGCGGGCTCTTCAGCCTTTACAGAGAGTTTTTCAGAGGTCCAAAGTAAGGATCCTTTACATCTTGGTAGTCCTTCAGATCCAATTGTTTCTGTCAAGAGAAAAATCCGCTACCCAAGGAAGATTCTGCCATGCAATAGTGATGGCTACTATTTGCATTTGCATGGGATGCCATTTTCTGTCACGGAGAAGGACGTGCGAATGTTTTTTCAAGGGCTAGAAGTGGAGGGTATCCTTCTGTTCCAAAACAAACATGGGCAAAAAAATGGCCGAGGGATTGTGAAGTTCGCTACTTTGCGTGATGCAAGCGAGGGCCTTAAGCGGGACCGTGAGTACATTGGATCGAGATTTGTGGAAGTGAACTGCTGCACAGAGAAGGAGTGGATTAACGCAGGGGGTCGTGAAGGACCGAATGTTGGTGATGCTGTTGTGTATGATAGAGAGTCATCTCCAGCTTCTGTGGAAAGGTATTCTAGAGGTAGAACAAGGTCAAGGTCACCAGTAATGTACAGGTCTAGGTCATCTTCACCTTCTAATGAAGAGTATTGTGTTTTGGTGGAAAACCTGTCATACACTGTTGAAAAGAGGGATATACAGAGATTCTTTCACCCTGTGGTCTTGAGTGATGACCAGATTTTGCATTTGTATGACCGGAATGGGAAAAAAACAAGGGCAGCGTTTGTGTTGTTTAAGAGTCTGAAAGATTACTGTGCAGGTTTGGGACGCCACAAAGATGTCATGGTCCACCGTATGACGTATGTGTCCCCGATCTCCAAGGAGAAAATGGTAAAAATGTTGGAAACGTTAGAAGAGAAGCTTGAGGAACCCCGTGAAAGTTCCAGTCGATCACTTGAAAAACCTCAGTCTACTCAAAGAAGCAGGCATCCATCTGAAAGGACTTGTATTTATGTGCGAAACTTACCTTTTGATGTGCGTAAGGTGGAGGTCATGGATTTTTTCCAAGGATTTGCGATATCCGAGGATTGCATTCATTTGCTGCATGATGAGAAAGGCAATGGGCTTGGGGAGGCCTTGGTGAGGTTTCAGTCTGAGGAGGAGGCTTCAAAGGCGGAGTACTTGAACGGCCAAAGATTTCTGGGATGCAAGGTGATGCTCAAGTGCATATCAAGAGCACAGGTGCTGGAATTTGGTGTCTTTGATTTTGGAGGAACTCGGAGTGGACGAAGACCGAACAGTCCTCTGGGGTGCACGGGCCTTAATGAGAGGAGTCGCAAATCTAACTTGGACTTTTTGGATTTTAACGTTCGTGAAAATGATATGAAAGCACCTTTTGATGAAAAATTGAACATTTCTATGGGAAGCAACCGTGCTTTGGATCCAGCCGTGAACAACATAAATTCTGGTTTTGAGAGAGAAGATCGACCCAGACATGATGGATTTGGTAACCCTGGAACCTATGATGGCCCTACGTGTGTTAAACTGGTCAATTTACCGTTGAAAATAACCATCAATGAAATCTATGACTTCTGTTATGGGTACCAGGTGATTCCAGGTTCAGTGTCATTGCAGTACAACAGGAGAGGACTTCCCAAAGGCTCTGCGACTGTTGTTTTTGAATCTTGGCGAGAAGCACAAACTGCGGTTCAAGAATTAAATGGGAGACCAATTGGAACTCGGAAAATCCAGTTAACTTTTGTTTAAAGACGTTGGTATTTACAAACTATTTGGGGAGGTTTCAATACTTTGGTTGGACTATGGACAGATGGAAAAAAATATTCTCATTTCTTTGCATCTGAAATTGCCAACATTTTCGGCATAAATTGCTCTTAATAACTACTTCAGAAACCTCAAAACTATAAAATAATGAATGTAAGGGACATCTTTTAATGCTTGTTGCTAATTGCTCAAGCCAAGGATTTTAACATTTGCAAGTTAATTTACAGTTGTTTTTACCCTAATTGGTTATGGGCATTTGGTAGCTTCCAGTGCCAATTAATGTTTTTTTGCATTTCATTATTGAAAGTGAACATTTTAAAATTGCTTGTTGCCTGATACTTGTTTCTTTCCCTGGATCAAGAGAACTATTGTATTTTTCATGTTGCTGTGGCATTTCAGTAATTATACGGTTCTTTAATGCTGTACATAAGGATAATTTGAGTGTGATGGAAAAAAAAGTCTTTTGCTTCCAGTTCCAACATATTATCTAAATGGGTGCTTTAGGATTAATATTTTTTTTCCAATTGACATTGGAAAAGGTGACTTGCAATCTGATGTGGTTAAAAATCTAGCTCAAATTCACTATATCATTTCTTACTTTTTTTCTTGCTTGAGCTTTAAAATATTTTTTTAAAATGGTTTGTCTAATGCAAACCATAACGTTAATCCTGCCAAGCTTTGTTCCTTTGGAAAGATATAATAGACACTTAGTAGAAACATGGTAAAGTTTCAGAATCAATTCATGTCACACTTAACAAAATTGCAATGACCGTATTCAGAAATGAAATATTCAGGAGGATGTTCACTGGAAACAAATGACTGAAAAGCCAACATTTTATTATAGAAATATATTATAATGTAACTACAGGATACTCGCTGTAGCATTTAGAAATTATTCAAAGATAAAAATTGATTGTATCTGAGCCATTTTATACTGTCATCATAGTAAGATTGGTAAAGCAGAAAGTTTTGTTAATTGGGGTAGTGTTTGAACTTTTTAGAAACATGCTTCCGTGAAATGGGAAAAAAAATTCTCCGTTAATGTGTGTATTTTAATGAGAAAAAATAACATTTTTGTCTTTTACATTCTGCTTTCGAAGGTACTATTTAATGTAAAAAATTGTTTGGCAAGACATGAGCAGATTCACAGTGAGATCCACATGAACATGATGGGAATGTGCAGCTCCATGCAGGTTTTACCCCAGGAATTGAAGCTAGGGCCCCAAGCCCTGCAAGACAGCAGTACTAGCCACTGCGACACCATGCTGCTCTGTGAGAAGACAGCGTTAAGCTAGTTTTTATTTCTAATAAATTTTACTTGTAGATCTATGTACTGGAGCACCTAAAAATCAGGTGTCCCTGACAGTTCAGGCTACAGAATCTTACAGCCCTTTGTACAGCATTGGAAATCGGGGACCAGTTGGATAAATGGAACGAAAGTCCACATCCTAAAAATTGGGTTTGATCTTTAACTCAGACCTTACTACTTCTGATCTTCTTAAAAGAATTATACTGTTTGCACCAACCAGCAGTTTAGGCAGATTTAACTATAACTGATATTTATTCTACTTTTAAAACAGGCGTAAGTACCAAATTGACATGAACGGGATTTGTGTTTCAAATGTAAGATCCTTGTTTTGCAACAATTCTGTAACAAAAAATAAACATTTGTAGGATTATTGGAAAAGTTTTAACCTTGTTTTGTTTAATGTCATTTTTTTCTGTATGGAAGATTTATCTTGAGAATAAGAGTGTACACAGCTTCTGCTTTGTTGCTTCCATTTTCCAGATTCTCCATAACTTTAAATTGATGGATTAAGGTAAAATAATGAATGCACAGAATAAGGAAATAAGGAAACCTTTCAGAGTGACACTAAGATACAACACACCATAATGGTACCCAGAAAAATGTTGTAACTGACAAGACAAAGCAGATTACATGGAAGGACGTTTCTGTGTCAACATGAGATGAGATGCAGTGTGTACAGAAGTATTGATATTGGTCGCTAGTGGTAACTGTGCCTAATATTTTGTCAGAGTTGATTGTTTAAATTGTATATTTATATCTATATTATTTCAGTGTGCTTTTTAGGAATGTTAAATGACATACAACTGTGTTTAACTTCTCTCATGAAATGATTATAGTTTACTGCTAGTTCATCTGATGGTAGCCTTCGTTGAAACACTAAGCATATCTTGATGTATTTATATTAGAGGTAAGATTGAGATACTATCCGCTGTTCATCCACCCATTGTATCTCCTGTGAAGACACCCATGTCTGTGTGAATACAGGAACTAGTCAAGTTGTGATCAAGGACATTCTAAAAAGGGGTTGATAGTATAGTTCCTCATCTGTGTTGGAAAAGTTCTTTAGGGTGGAGTGAGCAATCCTGTTATTGTAAATGTTACCATAGTAAATTGTTTTCTTCCTTACCCACTTAAATAATTTGTAATATTTCTTTGAATAAAAAAGAAAGCATATTTTTCAGGAGCTTAATTTATTAATGTAGTTTAAAGAATTTTGTCAGGGGTCATATTCTGCAAGGGTGGTAATGACAGTTACTTAATAATTCCATCATTGAAAACATGGAAAGAATCAGTCCTGTAATTCTGTCAATTGCCACTTCAGTATAATAATCAGAATTGTACCAGAGACTAATTCTTACACCAACCCTTCACAAAACTCAGTTGTAATTTGAGATGCACATACACCCAGGTTTAAGTTTTATAAATGGATTATTTGAATCCAGATGTAATGTGAGGCAAGGTCTATGTACGGTCGGTGTAACTCTTTTTCTTTCAACAAGTTTATTCATTTCAGTCATGTTCAATTCCATAATCTGGGATTACGAACCATGTGAAAAACAGAAATGCCAGTTCCATAAATGTAGTTAAAGTCTACGGCTAAACAATTCTGATGATGATTGCCATGATTCCACAATTCAAGTGTCTTTTTCACAATAACATTAAACAGAATTCCATTAATGTTAATAAATTCCTTTTCTATTTGAAGATAAAAGCTGATAAAAGAGGAAGTGCCTGAGGAACAAGCTCCCCTGCTGTGATGCTGAAGCTGATATTCTGATTTTTTTTCAGGAAAGTGCCTTATAAGATCCTTGAATAACTTAGCTACTGGCAACCAAACAAGCTAGATAGGTCCAAGGCTCTCACTCGTGCCCTTTCTTATGTTCTTAATGCAGCAAACTAAATTTGACTTTTAAACAGGTAAAAAATTACATTTACACAAGATAACGATTCTCATCACTCAAAAGTGTGACAGTGATTTGATGTTTTCATTTCACATTAAAGTGAAATAGAAGTGAAATAGTAGTATTTAATACTTAAAAAATACTGACAAAAATTACAGCGATACAAAATTTAAGGCTTCAAGACAGAGCTAGTTAGAGCTAGACAGAGCTAGTTAGTTTTCATCCTCGGTTACATCTTCAAGATCCTCGTCTTCTTCATCCTCCTCATCCTCTACTAGTCTTTTCCGCTGGCTAATTGGGGTCGGTGTCTGCAAATAAAACAGACAAGTGGTTAATGTTTATACCGAACCCAGATAATGGCAGTTACTGAAAGCAGTTAAAAGAGGTACAAGGCCAATGCTGATAAGGCACTGAAGAAACTTAACAGGTACAGTATTTTGATTTCCTTTGTATGAAAAAACTGGATAAACTGATATTGGTAGCAGGAGTGTAAAAATGCCACTTGAACCAACCAGAATTTGTAAGCTTTAGGACAGTAGGCACACCTTGAACTTCTACACCTCAAATCCCTAGTTTATAAATGACCTCTGATAAGATGGATCCCTTATTTGCAATAATCTCTAGCAAGAGTTATGTTTGGTTTTGTTTAAATTTAGATAATATTCATTTGCTATGAGCATTGCAAAACAATTCTGAGTAGATGCCTTAAACATCTTGGGCAAGAAATGCATCATAAGAAAACATGTCCAGGGGGGATTAGGAGGTGGGCTACTACAGTGCTTGTTTACAGTTCTGCTGTGTACTATTCATCTTAAGGCCAGTCTAAATGTGACTGAGCATACAAGTTGGCATTGCAAACATTAAAGAAATGCAAGATGACGGAGAACTAACAAAGAATAGGTGGTAAGAAAGTTCACGTGATTAATTTGTGTTGAAGCAAGGAGAACTGTTAAACTGTTTTGGTAATGTTACAAGAAAGTGTTGCACCAGTGAACAAAATGAGAGGTGAGAGCACAGACTTCTAAAGGCAAAACAACATTCTTCAGCTCATTAAACATTCAAAGAAAGAATGATTCTGTTTATCAGAGCATGTAACCTGCAATCAAAAGCCTGGCACAGTTGCAGAGAGACCTGGAAACGGATCTAATGATTAGGTTTAGAAAGAAAGAATAATAATTTAGCTAATGTGTCCAAGAAACACAAGCCAGTCAAGATGGCTTTTTACTAATTACAATTTTTTTTTTACAAAAAAACTGCCTTAGTTAAAAAAAAAAAAATTTTGTACATCGAAATGTCTCGGAAATGTCCATTGATGTAGGATAATTCAAATTGCATGAGATCCCATGTTATCCCAACTTTCCAAACACAATTTGGGAAACCAATACCAATTGATCTTTTCCTAAAATATCTACAGATTAGTAGATGAACAAAATTAGTATTGAAAATATGAGTGAAAGGTGTTTTTAAATACCAGAATTACCATATATGTTAAAGTATATGTTAAATGTTAAAGTATAAACCACAAGTCACTCAAGCTGATTTAAGGCATATTTACAGTTACAAGAAAACATTTTATAAATATATGTTCCAAGGTTTTTTAAGGCAACTAGCAGGTCCTTTTAAGCAAAGACAAACTGGCAATAGATTATAATAATTCTGCTGTCATGCAAAGCTCATTTACTAGGTTCTAGAATTTCCTGTTCACTTTATAGAGATTATACACTAAAGAAAGAACTTGGTTTACCTAAATCAATAACTACTAAATTTAACAAATGGATAAGTAATTGTACATTTTTTGTAAAGAGACCTGATTCCAACACTCAGTCAAATTAGATATTTAAATCTTAAGATACTGCGCTATGAATCTATATTAACATACTGTAGCTAGCAACTAACTTGATCAGCTTTTCCTTTTATTGAGTGTTTTCACATTTGCATAGCCCACTTAATAAGAAGCCTGTATTAACTAGCTAAAACTAAAACTGGACCAAGGCTTAAGCTGAATTGGTTTGAAGATTGTATATTGTTTCTGTTTTCACTACAGTTTGGCTATTACGATGATGTCCCCCCTTAGGGCATACTGGGACCATTTAAACCCAAATTAATTGGCCTACTTTAACAGCGTGATAAAAGCTTACTTAATGCTAAACATCTCTGCAAGCTCTTACCTGCAATGTCCCTGACTTAGTCTTTGTTGACCCAGTCCGGCTCAGTGATGTTTTGGAATTAGCACGGACTATTTCTAAGCGAGACTGGTAGTCTGGTGGGCGCAGAGAACTCCTGAAAACCTGACAAAAAAGTATGAGGTACTATACTCTTGCAAAATAACATGACTACATCTAAGCTGAAGAGAGGTGTAAGGTTTAGGCATATATGCTTTCTTTAGAAACATTTAACTAAAAAGGCTTTGGGGCAAATAAAGTTTACTTTGCATGGAGCAGGAAAGAGAGTAATGAAATAGCATACCAGTGCAAATAATGTGGACCTATTCTAGTCAAAAATAATCTACTGCATGAATGTCAAATAATCTTTCTGTAGAGACATTGCTATACTGATACCTTCCAAACCAAAGCAAACATTATTCCAAAGGAAGTCATTGTGGCTTCCCCTTTTTAGTACAATTAAATGTAAACCTACATCCTATTACTTCCAAGTATTCATTTCACTAACTCTCTATCTCAGTGAACTCTGGTAAACACCACCACCAATTTACAGCAAAGTATACATGCAGATTAGTTCATTACACACAAGTTCCAGTCACTGTCAAATTCTGTGCTTACTAATAAAATCACAGTGTTAGGAATTTAAGAATCATGTTTAATTAGAGAATTCTTCCAAATCAGTTGATTTAACTCATTTTAAGCTAAATAGATCTCTCTCCCTTCCTGTGACGCACAGCTGGCTCGGTCACACCAGGGCCAGAGAATTGCTAGCCTACAGTTCCTACAGTGTTGTGATGTCAGTGAGAGACATTGGCCCTAATCCTACTGTATGTCAAGAGAGCTTGCACCAGGTCAAATGATAAGCATCTCAGCTGAGATGTAAAGGGAAATTGTGTATCAAGGATAATTAGTAATCCTATTATTTTTTTAATTTAAAAAAGTCTCATCATTTATGGTTACCAATTAGGTAACTAAGAAGCAGGAAGAAATACAAATTTAACTTGAGTACATTCGTTCCTTGAACAACACTTGTCCTTACTTTTTTATTCAATGACAGTGGTTTCAGATTGTATTGTACATGAAATAACGTTAAGTATATTTTGTGTCCACATTGTGTTACAATTTAAGAATCAATTAAAAAAAATATATGAACACATAACCCTTCTTTACCTAGAAGATTGTATGAAACAAACTACTTGGTCATGTTGTAGAGCCAAATACCTTGGGTTCTTCTTAAGAAATGACTGGATGAGAGACCCTTGGATTAATTACTACTGCTAACAAGCCAGATGGGCCAAATTGCATCCTCTAGTTTTTAACTGTTCTTATGTTTTCTGTTTATTGTAAAAAAGTCACAAGCTCTACTGATATAAATGGATTGACACTTCCCTTGCGTGCCCAACAGACCAGCTTCACACATTTGTGTACTGTAATAGATATTCTAAAGGAGTTCTTATGTGCTTATCTCTTCACATTATCTAACTACAATCAATTTTTGAAGACCTTCCATTCAAATGATAAATCTTGACAGAAACTATGTCACAAAATGCAGCTGGAGCCATCAGCATTATTTAAGCTTGAGCTGGGAAATACTATATTTTATTTACAATTCCCCACCTTCATGTGGGAATAAAACTCATTAAAACTTAAAACATGCAAGCCATTCATGAATTATACTTTAATAAATAATAGTAAATTATTTAAAAACAATTATATGCACAAATGTTTCATCAGAAAAATCCTGTAACTGGAAAATGTGATGACATACTCAATCTTTTCTTAAAGAAACAAAACTGAAATGTCTGCTACTGTGAATAGTGACAAGTACATTGACATTAATATAAATTCACAAGGTAACTGAATTTTTAATCACAATAAACTACAATTTTTACATTGCCTTTACTTCAGAAAACTTCCTACCACAAATCATCGGAAAAACCACTATCTACAGAAAAATATTGCAATTATGAAAAATAATTATATTTATATAATTCAAATAATAAAAGTCTTTTTCAGCATCCTACAGATCAGTATTTAGAGTTGATAAATTATCTGTTGTGAGTTATATGAAAAAGATGCAAAACAAGAAGTAATATTGTAAATCTATTGTGTCAAAAGCAGAAATCACCCCCAAATCATGTAAGTGGTACCCTACACCTTCTCGTACCTGTAACTATGAAATTAAATGCACCAGGTTCTGTCACCCAGCTGTCCCAGAGCACCCAGTAGGTAGCATTGAGTGACACCAGATTTCTATCATATATGTCAGAACTCACCTCGAGATCTTCTTCCTCATCCACATTCTGTATGTGCTGGAAGGTAGTAGTGTAAACTTCCAAAGCCTTAGCATGGAATGTCATTTCAATAGTCACAAATTCACCAAATATTTTCTGCAAAAAAAGACATCACACATAACTTAAAAGAATGTTTTTGCTATGTTGATATATATATAGTGCGGTCACCCTGCTTTGTATGTGGTTTTATCATAACTGACTGAGGGACTTTAAGGAGATGGGTGTATACAGCGTAAACCACTATTATAACACACAGTGGCCAGTCTCCTAATAGTTGAACAATTTTGTGTTCTCAAACTTATTTGGGTTTGCCATACTAAAGGGATACATGAGGAATACTCATGGAATCAACCATTTTTTAGTTTTTGAATTTCTGCTGACATTTAACTTATTTCACCCACAACAGGTGTTCACTTTGAGCATTCATGTTTTGATTTAAAATATTTACTTTAAAAAGCTGATTTCCTTTGTATTTTGACACTTCACTGGAAGGGGGTGAATTCTTTCACAAGGCAATGTACAAACCAAAACCTCACCAAATTAAAATGCATTAATTTACATTTAGAACTGACGAGAGGGTCTCTGTGCACTTTGTACACACCTTTTCTGCTGTAGCTGCAGTATTTTACAAGGAGCACATACAGAACTGGCTTGAACTGGAACTGGAACAGAAAAACGCTGGACACAAGGGCCACTATGTAATTCTATACTGTGTTCTATAGGAATGCTGTGCTACGAAACTAAGAACCAATTGTGTTAAAAGAAGTGATCTTTGGCAAACAGGGAAGAGGAAGATGTGTGTGATCCTGGAACACTCAATCTGATCAGCACAGGGAAGTGTGACAGATAACAGAGATTTATTTCTGGACTGTTCTAGTTTAATTATTTTGAGAAAAATACACTGAGCATCTCTGTGGGTTTTCATTCCCATGCGCATGAAATAAAAACGTATTTTAACTTCTGAGACGAACTCCTGACTTTCTTTTAATTGGAAGCAGGAAAAAATTATCTAACTGAAACTAAGCTATTTTGTCATATATTTTCTATTTTGCCCCATGTTAACATACAATCAGGCAAAGCGACCAACTACAGAAATCCAAAAGCAGCAGACACAAGATATGAGCCGTGCAGACCTTGATGTCCCTTATTTTTTGCTTTTCAAATTCATCGATGGTTTCCTCCAGCTGTCGTGTTGTGCGAGTAGCATCCATCGTTGCTCTCTGGAGTTCACTCTCAGCCTGTTTAACATTAAAAAATGAAGTAAATACTGTTTATATACAGTACGCTTGCTTTTTGGAGTAACCAAAGTGTTAGGTTGCATGTTTGGCATACACACGAGACCGGGGCCACAGTCTAAGACTACCTGTGGGAACTGCAGGGGGTGTGAATGATGGTTTCGAGTTCACTACACATACAGAAAAAATTATTCAGGCAGGTTGAACAATTAACCTGTCATCAGTTCCTGCCAGGACAAGACCTCTCTGAAGTAGGTTTTGTTTATAATATTAATAATAACGTGCCTGAACAGTATGGTGTAAAATTCTTCTACTTATGTAGGTGTGCCTTGGCATGGAAAAGGTTGAAAAACACTGCTCTAAAGACATCTCTCTTGATCAAATCTGTTTTACTCTGGGGTTACATTAAGAAATTTGCCTACACCAAGACACCATGCAAAGCGTTTTAGAGTACTCATACATTTCTAATTTTCACTTTCAGCTAAAAGTATTAAAAGACATAGAACTGCCACTATTAATTTCATTAGGTGTCCATTTATAACCTTCCAGGTTGAGGCCCACCTTGCTCCCCCACCCCAACCACTATCCCAGCTCCCCCCACGGACCTGTACTGGAAAAAACAATTTAGAAAATGGATGGATTAATCTTATTCGATGTACAATGCAAATCAAGAAAAATAAGCACCACCTACTGAAACTGGACTAGTACTGAGGCTGGCATTTCACATGTCAAGTTTGTTTTTTTTTATATTTCCTTTAGCATTGTTTTATTGCCATTCTATTAAGATGAACACATATGATAGATATCACCACACATCACCATACAGACAACTGAAGACGTGATTCTTCCAACACCAACCTGAGACTGAGCTTTAGTTAAGGTAAAACAACTCAAATAATCAAATGTTTAGATATTCTGTATATTCAGTGTGCAGGAGATATAACTAGAAACTTTGATGAACAAAATGAAGGATACAATAATCTGTCGATCTGAGGGACTACGCTGTCTCATTCTTTCCAGCTGTTGCATTTGTTTGGCTTCTCGATTCCTGGCACTCTGAGTTGTTTTGAGATCGTCCTGTGAAACACAAGTGAGAAATACAGACAAGATACGATATAGGACATGCTGATATCCTGCTGTCCGTTAACCAGACTCTAGAAAAGAGCAAAGCCAGAGTGCAATGTGACATTTCCCTCATATGGGCTTTCAGTGTATTCTAAGACACTATTTTGCTGATGTTCACTATACAGTAAATACCTGCAAACTGTACTGAACACAACTTGGAACTGAAAGAGGTCATGCTGTATTTTTACTGGGATTTTTCCATTTCTGATGTATCTTTTTTGGACCTCTCTGCTTACCCTTTTGAGTTTTACAAGCGTTCCATAGCATTTCAAAGGCTCTATTACTTTAGCTTCGAGTCTTTCTACCTGCAAAAGAAAAATAATGAAACATTTGGACAAGGAGTCTGAGCAAAGTTAGTTGAATTTCTTAATAAATAAGAAGACTTTTTTATTTATTAATAAATAAGAAGCAATTTTATTTATTTTGTTTTAATAATACCTTTCAAAAAAAGACAAATTTCTTGTTTGTCTGCAGAAGGACACATAATGCATTACTTAAATGCATTTTATTCACTGCATGTTATACGAGTACAAACAAATGCAGGTGATATTTTTTTAGCACTTTTATTCCCTGGTTCAATTTTTCACATGTTATTTCCAAACGTTGCTATTACTTTCATCAGGAGAAGCAGCTAAATGTCTTTTCCATGCTACTTCATGATATTTCTGTATTATTTTTACAAGGTAAACTCACCTCACTTAAACAGTTTCAGTACATCACATTCATTACCACAATTTAAAAACACATTAAACTCCATACCTCTGCTTGACGATAATCCTGAATTTTGGCAAGCTGGTCAGCAAAATTTTTCAAACCATTCTTTAGGTTTGGAGTCTCAGTGTCAGCATAAAGGCTCACTTCTCTAACTAGGAGGTCTGCCTTGTCCCGCAATCGAGCAGTCTTGCGTACATAGGCAGCAAACAGCTGGCACAGCTCCCCAAAGTGCTTCTCAACATTTGTGATACTCTCCTGAATCTGCCTTGTCTGATTATCCCTGCAAAACAGAGGCACAGTGTCTCCCAGGGGTTTGGTGCAGTCTCTCTGCTACCCGTTATGCTTCCTAAATTCAAATGCTATCAGCACGCCTGTCTACAGAAAATGCAAACACACAAAAAAATGCATCCTCGCACATCTTCCTAAAACCATTGCAAAGCTGGTCCTTCAAAAATTATATAGTACTTCTGCTTTAGTTCTCGCTGAACTAAATCCAATAACCACACTCTTTGGAGCAATATTCAGAAACATTCTAACCTCTGAAGTCTGCTATTGATTTCACAGTTTTGTGGACCAAGGATGCACATTATCCTTTCTATTTTGTCTTATTTTCACAATACTTTATACATACAAAGTAGGAATTGCTTGCATTTGTAGAACACTTTCTTTGCCAGCAGAATGAAGAAGGACCCCTAACAGGAAATCCACCACAGCAACACCCCACCCTTCTGGGTGACACAACCAAGTCTCGCTACACAGCGCGTCAGGTGGAGACATGACCTTAGAATTTACTTAGGGCGTAAACGAAAGAGTGTTGACACCCCTTACTCTTTCAAACAGTCATGGTGGGATCATTAATCAGCAGATAGTCAGGATGTCCTGTAGCACAACGTCCCCTGCTACCACGCTGTGGCAATGGTTTGGAATTATGGTCCAGAGGCAGGAGAGCCTCCCACATGTTGACCAACACCTACATTTTTTCTCTTTTTTTTTTGTGTATTCCTTACATATTACAGTTCCTTACACTTATATACTGTAGCACTTTTCTGGACTCTCCACTCAAAGCACTTTACAGGTAATGTACACTCCCCTCCACCACCAATGTGAAGACCCCACCTGGATGATGCGACAGCAGCCATAGTGCACCAGCTCACCACACACCAGTTATCAGTGGGGATGTGAACAGAGTGATGAAGCCTGTTCTTACGTGGGGGATTATTAGGAGGCCATGATTGGTGTACCAATCATACAACAGGAAAAATTGGCTAGAAAAAAAAGTGAACATTGTTTTGCATGCCTGCAAAACTCTGTGTGATCTGCTGCATACTAGGAAAGTATTTTAGAAAGTAACACAAATGATTGCACTTCTTTTTACATGAGAAAGGTCTGCTTGCTGCTGTAGAAAAATACACTAAATAAAAAAAAAACCTCCAAAAATTATTCTCTTTCTCCAGAAATCACTTCTTGAAACCTGCTTCCAGCCAACTTTATTGAAAATAAGTTAAATAATTTTGAAAACCTACCACAAACCTGTATTAGGTACAGTCCATTTCATTTGAGAGCTTTTCCTGTAATACGTAGGTTACATATCCAATCAATACCTTGGTCAATACGTTTTATTAGACAATTGAGGCAGTTTAGGAAACCCAAATGACATGGGATTTTGGCATTAAGAGTAATGTTAGCAGTCTATAATAACAAACAGAGGCTTCCTCTGAGAGAACTGCGATGTTAAAAAATTCTCAACTCCAAACAGACACAGAATAAAAAACTTTATATCAGATTCTGCTTAAGCTAACTGAACAATTTTCCTGGGTAACAGTAATATGTGATCAGGACTGAAATGATTTTTTTCGTATAGTATCAGAAGCTTCCAGAGAGTAACACACAATCTGTTGTTTGACCATTAGCACTGATATCGAAAGGCGTCGTAACGCCAATCCTCAACTCCATTTTAAAATAGATTAGATTTTCTCCACCTTTTCCTCTATGCTGTACAGATTAAATTCTATACATAAACTGCGTAATTCAAAATAGCACCAGAATTTTTCAATTCTAAGTTTACACGGATCTTCAAATATATATCATGACTTTGATTTAAAAAGCACGCTCCGTACTGCTTAGATGTTTATCTTCAGAAGTCGTAGAACTTTATGCTGTAATAACATGTTAATCGAGGTCTGAAAACTGAAGTTTAAAACATAGATGCATATAGCTACTAAACTATCTGCTGTATCTGCTTTGATCGAAATTTCTTCGATTGCAGCAATATCTCGGCGTGTCAAGACCAAAAAATCCCCCGTTACACAAAACTTCGTAATGTGACTCCACATCAACATCTGTTTTACAGGCATCCATGATAACTGCAGCAAAAAAGGCCTACTTCTGCATCCTCGACATTTCTTCAGCAACTAACTCCAGCTAGGAGCGGAAAAAAATCTTTCTCTGCACTCTTAAGAGACGGTTAAAGATCTCACGCTTACCTGGCCCTTGCATCAGGAGTGCGACTCATGATTCTTGCTGTTTTGACCAGAGCACCAATGCAAAAGCATCACAGAATAATGAAGACCTCTCTTACTCGCACACTGATATTGGTATATTATTTATCACCTTCCTCCCCAGAACATCATAGACCTGCACGCCGTTTCCATGGAGTTGAGTTGATGACGACTGTGACGTATCGGTCAATTACTTCCGGGACGCGGAGGGAAAAAAAGAGGGAAGAGGTATTACACGTTTATTTGTTAAACGCAGTAAATTTGTCTAAAATGCAAACACAGCAAAGTGGGATCCAAAACTACCAAAGATGGTTTAGGAAAGAAATGACAACACCTCAGTGAGAAAATGACGAATTAAAGAATCAGTACAGTATTAGTATAAAAAAGGCATAAATAAAATAGGTAACTGTATTTAAATCATAAGGTACTAAAGTATTACACCACATATTTTTTTTCTTAAAGCACGGGTTTTCTTATTTTCTAATGACCGAAGCGTCCCTCCGAGTAGTTACAGACACGTTAACCTAACAAACGTAATAAATTCAGTATTTCAACATAAAACATGATCAATTTTGGCAATCCAGAGCGGCATTTTTAAAGTCACTGAGCATAGGGAATTAGGATTTTACGTTTTGCGTGTAAAGTGCACCGAATTGTCCTTTTGTAGTACATCCGCGTTTTGTTAATGGCTAAAAATTTTGTTTACTGTAATTAATGGGAATCTACAGCCACTTTTTTTTTTAATTTCAAAGGCATGAATGTCACCAGCTGCCATATCTGCTTCTGTGCAACTTGATTTTATTCCAAAACCTTTAATTATCATGGGTAATCTTCCATTGAAAAAGGGTGGGGGGAATTTTCTACTGAAACAGATTGCCAGTGTAAACCAACGCAAATGTATTAAGCAGCATGGAATAGACTTGAGGTTTGGTTTTTATTTCCTCACGTACTTCACAAATAGCTACTGTTTTCCTAAGCAAGAATAATGTTCTTGCCTTCTCTCGCCTTTGGTGTTTGCCTTGCTTTCGTACTTTCTAGCTCAGACCATTCATCAACCTCCTACTTCTATCTCTATGCCCGTTAGTAATATTCAACATTGTGCATAGCTCTCTGCAGAAGATACAGTACTTGTTTATTTTTATTAGTAGAAAATGACTCCCAGTCCCTACCTCAACTGCCAAATGTTTTTTTTTTCGATGAATTTGCATTGTTGCCACAAAGTTTTACACTTCAGATACCTTCGTATTGAGATTTACTATTCTTTACATGCCATTGTAGCAGACAGCTTTAATAACAATGAGATGCTGACTTGAACAGATGGACTCATTTTCCCAAGTCTCTTTAAGTTCATATCTCTATAGTAAAAATGAATGTGTTTCCTGGCTTTATTTTTTTTTGTTGCTTGATTCCTCTCTCTCCTCATGGTCAACGGCTAGAGTAATGTAATTTCGAATTTCAACATTTATTTTGTAAGGGAATGGATCTATGTATTAAATTTTCTGCTGTGAGAAGTCATTAGGAAGCCGGTTGTTGCCAGATTTTCTATTTTGTTTCCACGTTTTGTCTTGTATTCATTGTCTCTTTGATTTAACCTTGACTTTCCTGTAACTTGGCATCCACTGGAAAAAAAGTTTGGTCTCAGCATATAGATTTAACACATCCACATATTTATGAAGTTAATTACGATATGGTGTTCAGTAGAGTATCACGAGCTAGAAAGCAATAGTCCAAATGGTTTAATAAATCAATAAATCAATAAAAGAAAATCTAAGGAGAAAGAGAGCACTTAATAAAATTAACAAAAACAATCCAATTAGAGATGAGTATCTTGGACTTGAAGCCAAGAAAATAATATTGCAGTGGATACTATAATAAATAATTAACGTTTCAGTACTACAACAACTATAACTAATATTTTTCAGTACTACAACAACAGTCCCCAGGATAATAGTGGGAAGCTATCAGACAATGAAAGTAAAATTGCTGAGGTACAAAAGAAGTATTTGATTCAGGTATTCAAAAGGAACAACATGCCTTAAACTGAGCAAGCACAAAGTGCTATAACATTAGGCATGGGTGTTACAGTTAACTACAGTGAATCTATAATACATACAGTATTCAGGGCTGGATGGTATTCTAACAGTTCTACTAATGGAAGAGAGATGTTATTCATAGGACTTTAAGTAAACTTTTGCAACAGTCACTCAAAGCAGGAGTAACTGGAAAATTGCTAATGCAGTGCCCATCAATAAAAAGGGTGAGAAAGCTGAGTCAGGTAATTACAGCCAAGTAACCTTAATTTTATTATATGTTAGGGTAAGTAAATGATAATTAGAAATAAATTAGAGGATTTTCTATATGGACATAGGATCCTAAGGAATAGTCAACATGGATTAATTTTTAACTATCTTGATTGAATTTAAAATAGGAAGGTCAATTAGGACGGAGCTATTAGCAGAGCACCATGTGGATCTGTATTACAATTACACCTATTCCTAATTTATATCAGGACTTTAGCAAAGTTTGCAGACAGTACTAAAATAGGAAGGTGAGCAAATACTATAGATGCTACAAAGAAAATGAGAAAACCTTTAGACCTCAAAACTGGGCAGACACCTGGCAGGTTATGTTTGACTTTAGACAAGGGCAGAATTTTTCATGCAGCTAACAAAAACATACATTCTAGACACAAAATAGAAAGCAGCGAGCTTCCTTATTTACCAATGCGCTACAAAGACTGAGCAAAACATCTCTTGATTTAAATTGAACACTCTGCACTTCAGTATGTCCTGCAGCATTCAGTTTGCATTTTTATTGTTTCCCTACATTTTGATGATGATGAAATGGTACCTGTATAAATACCTTGGTTCCTTTCATGTGTAGCCTCATTTACAGTATTATGTACACTATATACTCTGTAGCCAATACTGAATTAAACCCAGGACTCCAACACTGCAATGCTAGCCACTGCATCACCATGCTGCTGACTGAAGTTCAGTATACAACTAAGCTAAATTGACTTAATTCAGAATTGAAATATGGATGTGTGGCTTATTTGATAATGTTTTTTTATCAGCCCTATACAACTTCTTGCATTAGGAATTTATCTTTTCACAGACCCCAGCTTTTTTTCTCCATGGAGACACAGACAGGGAGAGAAGCCTGGGGTCAGAGCGCAGGGTCAGCCATTGTACAGCACCCCTGGAGCAGTTGGGGTTAAGGGCCTTGCTCAGGGGCCCAACAGAATAGGATTCCTCTGCCAGCCACTGGATTTGAACCGGCAACCTTCCAGTCACAGGCCCAGATCCACCGCTCCACTCTATTTCACCTTAGCAAAGCTTTGCTGCTATTTCTGCCATGCACTGGGGAGGTTAGAGTGAAAGGGGGTGATTAAGAAGGGTTATAATAAAGATTTGTTGCTGAAATCCATGAATGCCCAGCACATTCTAGTCACTAATCACGTTTTTCTTCTACAGTGGCTAAAATCCTTTTCTTGCACATTTACACCACAGTGAACAGTCTGCAGAAGAATAAAATACGAACATTTAAAATGTTCATTGCTTACTATATCTTTCATAAAGGAAAACCAAAGGAATCCATAGTTTTCTTCATTTTCCTGTACAGACTCTCCTGGTTTGGCAGCCAAAATTATGAAATACAAATGAGTTCTATTACAATTAGATTTTATAGAACTTATTTACATTCAGGTAGCTATATACAAATCGATGAGCAGTACAACCAAACCTCCAGCAATATAAAATATTCAGACATAATGTTACACTTGCCAGCTGTGATTAAGCAAATGATGTTTAAGTGTTTTTCAAATACATTAACACTGTACTTCAATTATTAAACTGTATTCAAATAAAGATAGAAGTAAACTATAAAATACAGATTGTGTTTTTAAAGTTGAAAATAACAGCTGTTACACATTGCAATCTTTATACTCAAAGCAAACCAAAGAATTACTGAGAAGCAAGAATACTGTAAATTGCCTGAACAAAAATAACTATGCTGAAAAATCTAAAACATGTACTTACACTTCTAATGCAGCTGGGGGCAGGTTTGTACTATTTTTGTAAAAATCAAACTTTTTCGTCAGGCTTGTTGTCTACGAGTATACTACTGTTTACTGTGGTATAACAAATGCCTCAATAACATCTTAACATATTGTCAGTTCCAAATACTGCAACACACATAGTGTTATAAATACTGCAAAGTTTGAAAAACGAATCTTTCGACTTAAAAAAGAAAGTAGGGGGTCTGTATATTTTCCTGCAAAATTAAGGTGTTTAGTTTTGAAGCACATCATTTGCAGTTATTTCTAGAATTTATATTCCTAGAAATTACATTTACAATATGCAAAGTGCCAAATCTTAAACATAGATTTACTGTTAAAAAGAGTTTATATAGACAATCTACTGTTTGTTCAATAAACAGAAAGGACGATATTAAAAAAAGCTAAAAAAGCTGTTCAAAATTAATATCTCAATACCTGAGAATGTTTTCACTATACAGTATTTAATGTACATTTAAATTCTCCAGTTTCACACAAGACTTTTTTTAAACCACAATAGCTGAAGTTCTGTAGAAGCTTATTAGTGCCACAAAGAAAGAATGTCTCATGCATTTAAACAAGAAACATTTTGTGTTTATATAAGGTAGTTTGGCTTTTCAATGAGAAATGTATTGCATCAAAATGAAACACATTTTGTAAAAAACATCTTGAAAACATTCTTACATTTAAACAATTTCTGTGGAAATCATATTGCTGTAATTGCTTTTATATACTTGCGCGCTGTAGTGTGTTCTCCTTATAAAGGTTTAAATAACTGGTCAGTTTCTTAAATGACTCTTTTAGCTTGTCTTTTAAGGACTGTTTTCTTTTCTGTTTGTTAGAAAAAAAGACATTACAAGTTTATACCTTCATGCAGGTAGCTTTTTCAGTGGATGATTATGATTTTTTTTATTAAATCTTTTAGTTAACCAGATGGGGCAATTGAGATAGAATTCCTGTTGATAGTGATAAGCTGGAGAGTATCCATTAATACAGAAGGCTGCTAGAGGATTTGGAAGCAGATCTTACTCAAGGCCCCAACAGCACTGTTCCACCTGGGATTTCAGCATCCAGACCCTCTGTCCAGAGTGCCAAGCCCTGCCTGCTACTCCACACT